TGCTTAACATAATTGCTTTTGTAACTAGTCATCGGTATTGCTTCGTTGAGGAGAAGATACGACTTAAAGCCCGGACACACATCCATACATTCATCCATCCATTCCCAGAAATGACGAGTTAATAAACGCAATTCTCCAGAATGGAAATTGCGCTAAAAAAAAACAAAGTCAATAGCACGAGAAGCCGCTACATATGAAGTGGGCTTGCATGATGCGCGGTTCTTCTTTGCGGCATTAGTTAGGGACCCGAATGTTTATGATAGTGGTTGAATTTGTATTATGTACTATCTTGCATCCTACAATAAAAAAAAAAGAATATAATACTAGAAACTTCGTTTTTATATACGTTTACTTTTTTTTGCTTTGACAAGAAATAGTATAGTAAATATTTAAGGCCTATACTTGGAATTATCTCCCCTGAGTAAGTTTTACAATGGGCGATGCTGACGTTCATAGGCGTTTTGTTGTCTCTTTCAAGATTTTTTCCCGAGCCGACCCCCATCCCATCCCCCTTTTTTAGCCTCGCAAGTATCGAGTAGATCAATGTATCGTTTATGAACTACTTCCTAACCGTACATCCACCACTTCGGGACATTTTGTCATAAACTAGACAGCACTAGTCAACAGATATTAATTTACTTAGAATCTACATAGTTTTAGGCACATCTAATTCACAAAACAGGGAAGGTAAGATTATTTTTATATAATTATTTAGAAATTAATTAGAACGTTTAGAATTAATTTAACATTATTAATAGTCAATTACTATTTATAAATGACATCATAAATCAGAAGGTTATCCGACGCGTCAGCTGGCCACACACAGTTGTACATGTAAAAAATATTTTTCTGTCTATTATGAATTACTGCATCATACACCCAATCGTCATAAAAACTTGGGAAGCTGTTGAGTACAGCCCCGCAAAGGTTTCTGTCATAGGCCTAACATTTGTTTACGTATTGGAGTGGGAACGCCTAACGGAAATATGTGATTTAGCGCCCCGAGATCTTGCATATAAGCGGATGAGGTTACTACTTGAAACCACCGGCGACAGTGTCATCCTGAGCGCATCACAGATGAACAGGTTGGCCCCCACATCCAGTCGTTTAAAAGTTCCCACAACACTAGTAATAAGTCTCGCTACTACACTCGCTGACTAAATTTAATCAAGTGTTGCACCAATGTATCTTCCAGAATGCCGGAAGAAACAATGTGTAGCGCCCATCACCCGTGCAGTAATGTAACCGGTTGCTCCCATGAGCCCCGTGACTCCCCTGACACCTGGGCCGTTGCCGAGGGACTTACAGCATGCCTTGGCGGGTCTAGTTGGTAGTGTGGACAAACCCGCGCCCTAAGATCCAAGACATGTACTGCCGACATTGTTAATATTTAATTCAACTTCTGGAAAACAGGGCACACGTCTAAAAATACACGGTTGGTAACGTTTTGATGAACGCCTCATAAAAATCGGCGTCAGTTTGGTGTGTTGGACTAGATTTAGAGAGCCCATGCTTCTCACTTGGAAAACTTATGGGGCCAGCTCATGGGTCGGTAAACCGCTGATTTATTCGTGTACCAGATGGACATTTAAAAAAAAACATTTAAAGCGACCCTTATTTTACATATATATATATATATATATATATATATATATATATATATATATATATATATATATATATATATATATATAGGGGCCCAAAAAAAATTCTGCGCGGGGGCCTTTTTTTTCTAGTTCCGCCACTGCTCCAATGCGTGTGGGCATTAGCTAAGTAAATAATGTCTATTTAAGATTATAGACCTAAAGTGACAGGATTACCTTACCACCTGAACGGGACAGCCGTACTTGTGTTGACTCATTAAAGTCGCTCTACAATAGTACGGCGTGTCCCGTTCAGGAAGTAAGGTGGGTTGAGTGGGATAACCAGAGTGTACACAGCGTCAGTTTTTAGATAGCTGTAATAATATCTGAACATATATTTACATATATTCTGATTGAGAAATAGATTTAAGTAAGTACAGTGGTATTATGACAATATTAGATATATGGGTGTGGGTGTGGGTGGGGGATGGAGTTTTAACCACCTCACCCACCCTCCTGCCTATGTCAATGCACATATCTAATATTAATTGAGTAAATAATTCTTCTTCTACCTCATCTATCTATCTATATATATATATATATATATATATATATATATATATATATATATATATATATATATATATATATCTCACTCTCTCTCTCTCTTTATATATATATATATATATATATATATATATATATATATATTTATATATATATATATATATATATATATATATATATATATATATATATATATATATATAAAGCAATGTATGTGTGTGTGTCTGTGTGTCTTTTATGCATTACCACACCTCTTATCACATCGCCGTGAAACTTTGGGAAGTTGTTGAGAATATTCCTGGGGAGGTTTCTGCGAAAAAAATAATTTCAAATTCGCTCACTAAATTGAATCAAGCGTGTCAGCCGGCGTCCTGGATGGGTGCAATCTGGCTGCAAACTGAAAATTCAATTTCGGACTCCAAAGGATGACGCGGGCTGCTGGGGGCCCTGTAATACGTTTTTTTAATAATCAGGAAAATTAACAAAGGTTAGATTATTAAGATTGGGTTGTTTCCTTTTGTCCGTAAAAAATCCAAACAACTCCAAGCCTACAGTTCTCAAAATAATACAAAATTAAGTTTAGAAGGACTACTCAAATCAAAATGAAAAGTCACACTTCTAAAAATAACTCTGTAACGCGAAGAAATCCTTCTGTAAAGTTTCGTCACTTTGCTAAAGATGCAATTAACATCTATTTTTAGACAATCCAATCAGAAATTGAGATCGAGCTTCTAATAATACACCATTAGTAACGCTAACTAATTGCATCAGCCACACTGACGTTTATAGCACGTCAAATATTCAATTTTCTACGTGTTAAAGAAAACATCTTGTTGATTTGTTTCACTTAAGCGATTGACGCAATCTGCATCATTGTTTCCGGATGCTATTTCGCGCTCTGGGTTATTCTGTGAGCACTATGGCGCCTATGTTAGGTGTAGCCAGGGGTCGTACGCGGCGCCTCTGTGTTAGTGTAATCAGGGGCTCCCGATAGCGCCCCTCTACGTCCCTGACACATGGGCGATCACCGTAGTGTGTTCTACTTCATGATTTCGGTGAGTGATTAACGTAAGGTTTTCAAGCGGAAGTGTTGGTATTGTAGGTAAACCCGTGTCCCTATCTTTATGATCCAAGCCTATGCATTGTTTACATTTAAATAACTCAGTTTTAGAAAACAAGGTCACGCGTCTTAAAACTTAGGATTGGTAACGCATTGATGAAAACCTTCTTATATATTTCATCAGACTTTCTAATACCCCCGCGGCAACGCGCGGGGACGGGTACGCTAGTTCTTTATAAATTAGAAATTCTGGCTTTCCTCCAAACCATTAAGTGTCAATATTCTATACGCCTTGCGTATTTTTTTCTTTCTTCATTTGGCTTAAACTTTTGTCTATACAGGAATAAACAACCATAAGCTTAACCGGCCTCACATGCCAATACTAGAATCGAATGTTTAAGCCATATGTGTGTTGACATTGTGTAAACCAACTGCTCTAGGTGGCTGAATTGATTTCAATAAACCGTAACCACTCAAATAAAGAAAGTAAACATAGCTATTTGTTTAAGCAGAGAAAAACGAATTTTGTGTCTATTTAATTTCATAAAATATATTTTTTCTGGGCTCAAGTACTTCCATGGAATAAAATAAACCCTAAGCAAAAGTAAATAGTGTATTTTAAATTTAGTATGAAAAAAAATTACATATTTTAAATTATGTATTTACATTCGATTTTTCAATATTATATTTGTAATATAATAACCTACCCTAACCTAACCTAACCTAACCCAACCCAACCCAACCTAACCCAACTCAACCCAATCAAACCTAACCTAACCTAACCTAACCTAACCTAACCTAACCTAACCTAACCTAACCTAACCTAACGTAACCTAACCTAACCTAACCTAACCTAACCTAACCTAACCTAACCTAACCTAACTTAACCTAACCTAACTTAACTTAACTTAACCTAACCTAACCTAACCTAACCTAACCTAACCTAACCTAACCTAACCTAACCTAACCTAACCTAACGTAACCTAACGTAACCCAACCTAACCAAACCCAACCCAAACCAACCTAATCTAACCTAACCTAACCTAACCTAACCTAACCTAACCTAACCTAACCTAACCTAACCTAACCTAACCTTACCTTACTTTACCTTACCTAACGTAACCTAACGTAACCCAACCTAACCAAACCCAACCCAACCTAACCTAACCTAACCTAACCTAACCTAACCTAACCTAACCTAACCTAACCTAACCTAACCTAACCTAACCTAACCTAACCTAACCTAACCTAACCTAACCTAACCTAACCTAACCTAACCTAAGCTAACCTAACCTAACCTAACCTAACCTAACCTAACCTAACCCAACCCAACCCAACCTAACCTAACCTAACTTAACCTAACCGAGAAGAGCAGAACATAGCAGAGCGTAACACGTACAATATAACAAAACTTCATGACACTAGTTGATGTTCGTCTTTTAAGTAGAAAATGTAGAATTAAAAAAAAAAAAACACTTAAAAACCTTTTTTTCTGCACCCATCTTACCTTGAAATTTACGTTAGGTAATAATATAAAAAGATCAGAAATAGTTTGCAAATATGTAACATCCGTGTTTGCTTAAAATCACCTGTGTAAATATGCTTACGTTTGAATTAATATTTACACACTTTTAAAATATTTTTTAGACCTTCGGAAGGCGGACACCTTATATTTGCCATAAAAAACTGAAAATAAGAAATGTTAGCATAGTGTCGAGTCACGGTAATTAGTACATGTTGCAAGTAGTACATAAGGTACTATAATATACATGTAGTTTAAAAATAAGCCTGTTAGCTAAATTGATATGCTTCGTTAGTCTAATTTCAGCTTTGTAATAATCTAAATTAACTACATTCCTCAGTAAAAGAACTGCCTTACGTAAATATTATATATATATATATATATATATATATATATATATATATATATATATATATATATATATAGATATATATATATATATAGTCCAATGCTTTTGCGTTTTCTAGTTGGTGAAAGGAAATTAAAATGCCGTGGAGTGTTGCTGTTGTGTTGAAGGTTGAAGTACTATTATTATTCTCAGTATTCATTTTCTTACCAAAATGCAGTTTGGCAAGCGATGTTGACATAAAAGGACAACTCGCCCACAAAGAGGTTAGTTACTAACGATTTGTGTTTTGTTTCAACCTAATGTTTAGCAAATTGAAGTTTGCGCTAATAAACTAAGCTAGCCGCATTCCTTTTTAATTAATGTGTTTTGTATTCGATGTTATCGATTTAAAAGCTTATAATTTTACAATTTGTTAGTTTCGAGGTAGATTTCTGTTGCTCAAGTCCCTCTAAATTTTAGTTATGGAATTATCTGTCATGGAAAGAACAGCGACCTGTTTTACACAACCCTTTCCTAAAAGAACATAAAAAACACATGAGTTGTGCATTTTGAATATAAGCTTGTGGAAAAACATACTTATTCAGTACACTTGTGAAATTGAAAGAAAAGTTACGCTTGATCTTTGAACCATTTAGCAATATTATTTGATAAGGAGAATTTTATTAAATCCGATCATCAGAATACAATTAACATCGGCCGTATTAGACTTAAAAAAGATGGTTCCAAATGTTTGTTGCCAGATAGCATATTTGTCATTCAAAATTGAATATTTTATTGTATTTGTATAACAAGTACAATATGACTTCCTGTTTTATTAAGACTAGAATTAGTCAAACAAATAATTACTTGTAATATAATAGTATGGGACGGAATGGTCTAGCGGTAGGGAGCTGGACTGCTAACCCGTAAGTCTCGAGTTCGAATCCGGTTCAAGTCACTAGACGGTCCCTGAGTCCACCAAACTCTGATGGGAACCTAACTCACGTTAGGGAAAGTAAAGGCGGCTGGGCATAGTGCTGACCACACTATCTCTTCATAAACCGAGGTCACAGAAACAAGTGAACTCCACTTCACTAGCCCCATAGACCGTCAGATTTGAAAGGGAAACTTTTACTTTACTTAATATAATAGTAATTTAGCTAACACTTTTATTTTTAATTTGGATTAAGTAGAGTAAGGGTGTTCTGGTGATAGAAGATGTAGTATTATTTTATTTAAATACAATACTAGGCTATACCATTGACCACTTTTGTGTATTTATTTTGGGAAACAATTGTTGTAGCTTTCATTGTTTTACTCTCCCTGGTCATTTCCGTTGCCTTCAAAAAGGTGTTGAGGTTCATTTAAAAAAAAAAATGAATTGATAAAATAATTGTAAACGGCTTTTTAATGGCTTATATTCAACACAAAAAATATGAAGGTTTTTAAAAATTTTGCATGATTTACATAGACTTTTCAAGCCTATTATAGGAATCATTCACAGCTTGAATTAGCGAAATTTATCATTAGTGCAGTTTTTCTTTATGGCATTGTGATCTATCTCATTACACAGTGAGATAAAATGGCAATTACTATGCCAACCCGTCTTTGGTTTCCCTAATATGAGGAAGGAAAACATCAGAGCTGGGTGAACTTGGGCATGTCCAATAAACTAGTACGAAGGGTAGTAGCTGTAGAATAAAAATAAAGATACCCTTAGCAAATAATGTATTACTTTCCCAAAAAATTGCATTATTTTGTTGCCATCGATTATAGACTGCGTGCTTAGAAGAGACTATTATAAACACGGAGTCATGTACAAACCTAAACGAAGACAAAATACACATTGGGCAGACAGATGGAAAATACCTACCAGAGGGATCAGTTTGTGAGCTTAATGATAACAAAGATGGAAACACGACAGCAAAAGTAGTTGAATGCATACATGGAAAATGGATGTCAAGTAAATACATATATTATCTAATATACATGTATACATTATAGTATGCACATTCATTGTAATATGAATAAAATATATAACTATTTATATATAACTCTATATAACTATTTATAACTATATATAACTATATATAACTATATATAACTATATATAACTATATATAACTATATATAACTATATATAACTATATATAACTATATATATATCTATATCTATATATATATCTATCTATATATATATATATATATATATATATATATATATATATATATATATATATATACATACATATATATGTAAGTGTGTGTATAATATATAATATGTACAAATACTAACGCTTTATAGATATATAAATTATAAATTGTAATATTCACATAAAAGTATGTGTTCGCGTAGGAGTATGTCTATCTATATGTGCATGGTTAATTGCTCGTAAAATGCATACCTATACCTATACCTATACCTATACCTAGACCTATACCTATACCTATACCTATACCTAGACCTATACCTATACCTATACCTATACCTATACCTATACCTATACCTATACCTATACCTATACCTATACCTATACCTATACCTATACCTATACCTATACCTATACCTATACCTATACCTATACCTATACCTATACCTATACCTATACCTATACCTATACCTATACCTATACCTATACCTATACCTATACCTATACCTATACCTATACCTATACCTATACCTATACCTATACCTATACCTATACCTATACCTATACCTATACCTATACCTATACCTATACCTATACCTATACCTATACCTATACCTATACCTATACCTATACCTATACCTATACCTATACCTATACCTATACCTATACCTATACCTATACCTATACCTATACCTATACCTATACCTATACCTATACCTATACCTATACCTATACCTATACCTATACCTATACCTATACCTATACCTATACCTATACCTATACCTATACCTATACCTATACCTATACCTATACCTATACCTATACCTATACCTATACCTATACCTATACCTATACCTATACCTATACCTATACCTATACCTATACCTATACCTATACCTATACCTATACCTATACCTATACCTATACCTGTACCTGTACCTGTACCTGTACCTGTACCTGTACCTGTACCTGTACCTGTACCTGTACCTGTACCTGTACCTGTACCTGTACCTGTACCTGTACCTGTACCTGTACCTGTACCTGTACCTGTACCTGTACCTGTACCTGTACCTGTACCTGTACCTGTACCTGTACCCGTACCTGTACCCGTACCTGTACCCGTACCTGTACCCGTACCTGTACCCGTACCTGTACCCGTACCTGTACCCGTACCTGTACCCGTACCTGTACCTGTACCTGTACCTGTACCTGTACCTGTACCTGTACCTGTACCTGTACCTGTACCTGTACCTGTACCTGTACCTGTACCTGTACCTGTACCTGTACCTGTACCTGTACCTGTACCTGTACCTGTACCTGTACCTGTACCTGTACCTGTACCTGTACCTGTACCTGTACCTGTACCCTTACCTGTACCTGTACCTGTACCTGTACCTGTACCTGTTCCTGTACCTGTACCTGTACCTGTACCTGTACCTGTACCTGTACCTGTACCTGTACCTGTACCTGTACCTGTACCTGTACCTGTACCTGTACCTGTACCTGTACCTGTACCTGTACCTGTACCTGTACCTGTACCTGTACCTGTACCTGTACCTGTACCTGTACCTGTACCTGTACCTGTACCTGTACCTGTACCTGTACCTGTACCTGTACCTGTACCTGTACCTGTACCTGTACCTGTACCTGTACCTGTACCTGTACCTATACCTATACCTATACCTATACCTATACCTATACCTATACCTATACCTATACCTATACCTATACCTATACCTATACCTATACCTATACCTATACCTATACCTATACCTATACCTATACCTATACCTATACCTATACCTATACCTATACCTATACCTATACCTATACCTATACCTATACCTATACCTATACCTATACCTATACCTATACCTATACCTATACCTATACCTATACCTATACCTATTCCTATACCTATACCTATACCTATACCTATACCTATACCTATACCTATACCTATACCTATACCTATACCTATACCTATACCTATACCTATACCTATACCTATACCTATACCTATACCTATACCTATACCTATACCTATACCTATACCTATACCTATACCTATACCTATACCTATACCTATACCTATACCTATACCTATACCTATACCTATACCTATACCTATACCTATACCTATACCTATACCTATACCTATACCTATACCTATACCTATACCTATACCTATACCTATACCTATACCTATACCTATACCTATACCTATACCTAGACCTAGACCTAGACCTATACCTATACCTAGACCTATACCTAGACCTAGACCTAGACCTAGACCTAGACCTAGACCTAGACCTACACCTACACCTACACCTGCACCTGCACCTGCACCTGCACCTACACCTGTACCTGTACCTGTACCTGTACCTGTACCTGTACCTGTACCTGTACCTGTACCTGTACCTGTACCTGTACCTGTACCTGTACCTGTACCTGTACCTGTACCTGTACCTGTACCTGTACCTGTACCTGTACCTGTACCTGTACCTGTACCTGTACCTGTACCTGTACTTGTACCTGTACCTGTACCTGTACCTGTACCTGTACCTGTACCTGTACCTGCACCTGCACCTGCACCTGTACCTGCACCTGCACCTGTACCTGCACCTGCACCTGTACCAGCACCTGTACCTGCACCTGCACATGCACCTGTACCTGCACCTGTACCTGCACCTGCACCTGCACCTGTACCTGTACCTGTACTTGTACTAATTTTAGAATGTGTATTCTTTTTGTAATTTTCTCATATTTTTATGTTCATTTAATTTTAAAACTATAATAACATTTGTTTTTTTATAATTCAGTGTGCCTATCACTTATAGTTACAGATTCTGATTCTAATAGTCATCACAGATCGAAACGAGGAATAGAGCTACTAATTATTGGATTAATTGTTGGCTTTACAGTATGTTTTATTTTCTGTCGGCGTAAAAGTAAGCGGTTTTTTTTTCGTACTTTAAAAAAAAAACTTTTTAAAGCCATTAACAAAAGTAATGTGAAAATTATTGTTTTACAATTATTAGAATTTCGATAGCATGATTATAAATTTAAAAAAATCATTGTTTGTTCCTTAACGCGTAAGCCAGTATGGGAATGTAGTGGAGATAACATTTTACAGTTTTAGGGTTAACAGAAGAAAGTCTGACGCAATATTGTAAGAGTGTTTAATCAATGCGTTTCCAATCCTACATTCTTAGACGTATGACCTTGTTTGTAAAACTTGGCTATTTGAATGAACACAATGCCTGCGGTATATTTCTTGGATTATATTTGTCGGGGTAAGGAATTACCCACACTACCGCCTCTGGGCGTGCCGTGTGAAAGCCTTGAGTGTTCGTTATTTACTCTCCGTAATAGTGAGGTCGAATAAACTAAGACCCCTAACTCAGTTTAATGTCGTGTGCGACCTTGTAAATATTGAAGGGTGCACTGTACAACGAAAGACGCGCCTGAATGAATTTAGTGAACGACTAAAATATCCCATTTTATCCTTAGTCTGTCGCTCTGCTGAAATCGAACGTAGGCGCCAGACCAAACCCACATATTTTCATTAATATACTAGTGTGTCCGTTGTTGGGTGCTCGTCAAAACTAAACTAACGTAGGCGATATAATGTTCACAGGATAACACGAGGCACCGGCGGACGCGTATGATTCATATCCACCTTATCCATGTTCTATCGCAATTTTGAAAACGAACGTATGCAATATAACGCTCACGTGATAACCCGAGGAGCCAAACGACACCACGAGGGGTGCCGGAGGATGCGTCTGATTTGAAATAGTCAATGATTATTGTTGCCCATCGGTTTTTAGTGTATAGCAGTTTTGAAAACAAACGTAGACGCCATAGTGCTCACATGGGAGCCTGGGGTGCTTCGGGTCACCTGTTGCAGTTTTACCATTGATTCTAGTAATACCCCTTACCCGCTATGCAGTTTTTCCAACTCAAGGAGGGGTAAAACTTGCAGATTTGTGAAAACCTCGATTTCGATTTTTTGCACTATTATAAAATACTTCCTCTATACTTCGTACGCGAGAAAGTAGTAAGAGAAAAGCACTTGAATACAGGCGAACCAGGAAATATCATTAAAATGTTAGCGTCTCTAGACGAATATATGTTGCTAATCTGAAATTTTGTATTTAGGCCCACCACCTAACCGAAATCCAACAATAAGCTGTCCAACAATAGCTTCACCATTGTATACGCCGAGGAGCGAGTTGTCAATTTTGGTTTCATGGAAAGCACCTGAAGCCAGAGATCCAGACGGCGATAAAGTAAGGTAAAATCTATTTCACAAGATACACGAAGCTCTTTTTAATATAATGCTCATGAGTTAGAAGTGATAAAAATTAGGTTCAAGGACTAACCCGCGCTGTAAAGGCATTTTAAATATGAAATATGGCTTTTGGTCAGTTAAAACATTGTTCCGGAATTTTCCCGAGGGTAGCGCAATTTTTTTCGTGCTCCCTGGGACAGTTGTATATCTCCAAGAGTTTTCAAAGGGTTCTTGCGTGGGAATTTTTTTTCTATATATAGCTTATATAAGTATAATTTCACTCGTGGTTAATTTTTAGCCCTCATCGAGAGCTTTGAGTCAAGCGGACAGTTTTTCCACACGGCATTACCATTTACCTATGAGCATGCAAAAAATAACCCTGATGTACAGAAGTTAAGCACCCTAAAATCGGTATTGAAATTACCCACTGTTTTTCCCATAAAAAACAAAGATTATATAGGGAAATACGACTGGTCAGTTTTGATCCATTTCCATAATATTCTCGGATATAGCGAGTTTTTTCTGACACCCCTAGGCGTTCTTCAACCACATGAAAATATATCAAGGGGAGGGGGGGGGGTCGTTCGGCAAAGATTCTTCCGTAATATAACTCATATAAAGATAATTTCACTCGCGGTTACTTTTAAGCCTTCATCGAGGGCTTTTAGTCAAACGGACGAATTTTCCATATGACATGTTCATTTATCTATGAGCATGCAAAAAATAAGCCTGATGTACAGAGGTTAAGCACCCTAAAATCGTTGTTGAAATTACCTTCTGTTTTTTCCATAAAATACAAAGATTATGTAGGGAAATACGACTGGACAGTTCTGACCCATTTCCAGAATTTTCCCGGATATGGCGGGTTTTTTCTGACACCCCTTTTCGTTCTTCTACCACCTGACAAAATATCAAAGGGGGGTAGTTGGGCACAAGTTTTTTTCGTAATATAGCCCATATAAGGCGCCGGTCAGTCGAGGTCAGTTTTGACTCCTTCTCCGTTTACTTTGCGGCCAACCGGCACCGGCCCTCGTGTTCTATTGCCCCAAGGCATGATCCTGCCAAATTTGAAGCACATGCGGCCCCGGGAAGTGACCTATTGGGCACTTGACCACTTTCCTTTATATATATATATATATATATAGATATATACATACACGCACACTCACACCTATGTGTGTGTGTGTATTAGAATATTAATTCTTTTTAGGGTCTTGTGGTGCCAACAATTAATTTTGTTTGAAAATCTAAATCTCTCACTGGCTTACGAGATTTCTATTTCAAAGTGAGTGAAAATGAGACTTAGCCCTATAAAAATTGCATAGGCGCCGTTTGAAAGGGTGCGCCAAACGCGGTGATAATATTACAAAAAAAAATTTCATTACTTAATCATAGACAGTCGAAATAGAGATAGTTGACTGCTACTTGGCATTATTTACTTGTTTTCTGCATCAATTTCTTGACACCAAAATAAAAAGGTAACGGACTGGTAAAAAGCGTCCCGATCTTTCCTAGTGAGGGAGGTTAGGGCGCATTTTCACCAAAGCGAGTAGCTAAATATAAGCATAATTTAAAGAAGGGGCGCAAATAGATCGCCACGCTTTTGTATATTACCCGAAAGTGTTAAGTTTATATAATGTAATCAAAATTATTCATTATTAGGTACTTTTTATTATTGAAGATTACACATTTTTGCAACCCCCTTTGGATGGCGACCTAGGCGACCGCCTAGTTCGTCGTATATGTCCTGTATATATATATATATATATATATATATATATATATATATATATATATATATATATATATATATATATATATATATATATATATATATTTATATTTATATATATATATATATTTATATATCTTTATTTATATATATAAATATGAAAATTTTGCCCCTCAACAAAGAATATTTTTATGGTAATAGTGTTGTTCAGACACAAGGCCAGTTGCCTGGAACTTACCACGGAGAAGGTATTTATACGGTTTCGTACATGGCTAAAGATAATAGAGGAGGTATGGATACCTGCAGCACAACATTTCGTGTTATAGGTAAGAGTTATTCATTAAAAAAAATTAAACTGCCTTTTTGTACGGGTTAACTTTGATTTTTGATACGCTTGCCATATATCTAAGTCAGGAGATGTTCGATAGAGTACTCATACATATGGTACGGGAAGGTCTTATGTCAGCCTCCACAGTATATTAATATATTCGGATCTGAGTGTAGATATACATGTGATGATGGACACGAAATTAGCGGATCTTCTAATGCTCAGTGTAATGAAAACCAACAATGGTCTGTTGTACCGAAACCCAGCTGCCAAGGTTAACACTTTATCCTTTATTGTGTTTTGATTTATATTTTAACACACATATTTCGAAATATTTTTGTGTTAGAAATTTTAATTGTAATAATACTTTCGTTAGAAAACGGTTTAAATTTTTAACATAAATAAATACCGATAAGACATCGTATTGCTTTAACATAATTAATGTTTTATAATATAATAAAATAAAATGCAAAAAAGGACCTTTACTTTTTAATGTTTCTTTAAAAAAAATAGCTATAGCATGTGCTGCACCACCAATAGTAGAAAACGGTAAATTTACCGGTTGTCTTGGAGGCTACCCATATATGTCTAAATGTATCCTCACCTGCGAAACCGGTTATGTCGTGGATAGAACTGACACCATTAGATGTCTTGCAAATAGGTCATGGACAGTACCCGGCATATGCAGAGGTAATATTTTTTAACTAACACAAGTATTTTTGTCATAACGCTTTTTATATTTATTAAATCTCAGGCTTTATTAAGTTATATAAGTTAATATTACAAAACTAACATTTAATAAAACAATTTTCTCATGGGTTTCGTAAAAGAAGTCAATAAGATTACCAAATTTAGAGATTTGTTTAAAACTTGAAAATTATAATAAAAAAGTTTTAAATACCTTTATGATTCTATATCTATTGTTTGTTTGTTTATATTTTCCTCACTCCTATTAGATTGGGTACTTGCAGGTAAGTTGTAAGAAAATAGTTCTGGACAACGTTTTCTGTACTATCATGTTAACGAAAAAAATTAAAGCCTCCTCAAAATTCGAGTTTAAAGTGATCGAAAACTGACTTAGACTGCCAGCGGCCTCATACGAACTATACATTTTCAAAAGTGCTTAGACCAACCACTTGCAGATGCGACAAAAACTTGATATTTTGGAAGGAGATAGATCTGACATAGTAGGCACCTAAAAATTAGGTAAAATAAAGGATTAGGGAGTAGACACGAATATAAAAAGCGGTATCAACAAGGCCAGATGTGCCTTCAGCGTACTACACCCCGATTAAGAATTTCACAGCCTTGTCACTCTAGAGCAGAATAAGAATCTTCAACGCAACTGTTAAGGCAGTATTGCTTTATGACTGAGACCCGGAGATTACTAAATCAAATACAGATAGGCAACAGTCGTTCACAAATAGATGTTTACGAGAGATCCTTAAGATATTTAGGTAAGAGATGCTGCAAACAACAAGGCAACAACCAACAGACATTTACATTAAAGCCCCCTACGGTGATTATTCGGGCATTTCATGAGAAGGGAAGAGGCTACAGTCGCAAAGCAAGAAGTAGATTGGTATCCCCTAGGGGAGAGAAAAGTGGGCTGGTCAAGGCAATCAGTAGAAGGTGCGGCAATGGCTGCTGGTCTTACGTGGGCGTAAGTAAATAATAGAGTCCTTGCATATGACGTCACGGATCGTTCAGTATGTAAACATACGCCATCGCGGTGTACATGTCCGCATTCAAAATGGCAATATGTGCTGTGAAAGGTTGTGATACTCAAAGTGGCAGATCTAAAGGGGTTCCCTTATTTCGGCTATTATATTTTTTTAGATATTGAGCCTCCAGTACTGAATTGTGGTGCGCAAAAGATTGAAGTATATGCTGGGCCAAAACTTTCAAAAGTTCAAGTACAATGGCCTCCAGTAACAGCGGTAGACAACTCTAACTTTAGTTATCCAGTTGAAAGTGACATACAATCAGGGGCATTCTTTGACATTGGCGTCACCCCGGTCACGTTTACAGCTGAAGACAAGCAAAAAAACATTGGGCGGTGTACAAAAACTATTTCTGTCATAGGTGAATATTTTTCGTAAATTTGTATTTTGTTTTTGTGTGTGACTCGTGTAGGCAATTATTTGATCTAATTCACGCGAAGAGAACGTCATTGAAGTTTTATGCTATAATATGTATCGTGTACAATTTGGCTAATATAGGCTTAACGCATAAAATTTCTTAAATACATATATAATTACAATATATATATATATATATATATATATATATATATATATATATATATATATATATATATATTGAGTAGCGATATATTGAGTAGAGAATGCCCTAGTAAAGTCATAAACATTTTAATACTTACAGAATTAATTCCTAAAACTGTGTTCATAAAGATATTTAGTAAATATTGACTTCTAAAATGATTGGTACTTTCTCTTAATTAAAGATTTGGATTTGTTTGTTTGTTCTCAGTAACAATGATAGTCAGACATAGGCGGCGAGTGTCAATCTATTATACCAAACGCTTCACGTTATTTAAAAGAGCAAAATAATATAATTAATACTATTTTAATATAAACAGTTTTCGTGAAATCTGTATAAATTAGTGTTTTTAAAATTCTTTTTTTAACAGTCAAAAGATGTCCGCCCTACGAACCCGATGAACATGCTTATGTTAGCTGTTCCCATAGCAACGCCTACGGTTCCGTGTGTACTTCTGTGTGTAACGATGGTTATCTGTTGGTCGGAGCTGATTCACAGACGTGTCAAGAAAACAAAACGTGGAATGGATCGAAACCAACGTGCACATGTAAGTACACTAATTGTATACTTAACATGTAAAACGTATTGATACTATTAAAAAAACAGAAGTTAAAAGAGAAAACGTTTCAGATTTGAGTCGCTGGGTTAGAGTATGCACTTAACTATTCAATACTTTTCGTAAGATTTTGTAGATGGTTTCAAACCTCATTTAGATAGTTTCCCATTTTTAGAAAAAAAGTACATGTATATGTCTTTTACCTACTAACAAGCTAGTTGGAATTTTAATGTACATTAACTATATCATTTAGTCTGATTTTGTAAATCTACATTTTGTATTTAGTAATAAAATTGCAATCAGAGTTTTATAATTTGCTTATGTATTTAAACTAAAGTATTTTACCCATGATTTTCAATGGTTTTCTAAGCACGAGAATGCGGATCACCCTCTTATGTTGCATACGGAAATTACACGTGTCTTTCGGGAACGAAGTACAAAGACGTCTGTACCCTAAACTGTGACCCAGGCTTCCAGCGCGTAACACCAACTACAATTCTGTGTACCATTCTGGTAGAATGGACACAAGGAGGATACTGTAAAGGTGATTGATTGTGTGTAGGCTACTTAAAGAATACAACTGAGCTTATATAACGATTTTTTAATTTGTTTTTTTTTCACTTTTTATCAACTTATTCTAAATGAAGTTGACATCGCATAGGCTACGACTAAAAATGTTTGCGTTTATACCCGTTTATTCACTAGCCGTCCTGACCAGGCCATGCACTGGCCTCTATGAAAACCTTTTTGCAAATACCATGACTTGTGTGTTTATTAAGCAGCATATACCTAGAAATTCTAAGGTTTAGGTGAGGTAGATTGGAGTTGTTCTATTATAATACACTGACGAGAAGCCATGCTGTTTGTATATATATTTTATTGGCCTTCGCTAACATGATGGAGACCGGAACAGGAAGTAACAATAGATAAATACAAGGGACATCACTCAATAACAACATTATAAATATAACTAATACAAGAAGAGTGAGTTCCCCTGACCTCACAAATCCCAATATATTACATCCCTTTACCCTTAGTAAACACAACACATCTCTCAATAGAACAATTGACAGTATCCTAAAATCACCAATTATATTGTAACATGAACACTATGGTAGATTACATCTTTACAAACAATGCACAATATGTTACAACATAATCAAGATACAAAACAATGATGTCAAAGTCCTTTTGACCTTTAAAATCATAGGTCTAACTTATTTGGGACTTTGATTGTCCTGCTTGACCTTCTCAGTGGCTTTTGATTTGGTGACTCAAGATTCTGACCATATGGATTCTCTATCTCAGGAGGTCTAGGATTTAAATCATTAATTCCAGAATTTACATTTTCTGACTCCAGACAACTTGGTTCACTCATATCAACAGAACTTGGTTGTGGAACAAACTGAGTTGGTGTGAACTGATCAGATTTGGTGGGATTGATAGATTCACACTTATTATCTGCACAAGTTATTTTTAACTGGTCTGCATGTCTACGGACAATAAGTCCATCATTTGTTTTTACTTTATAAGACACAGGTCCTGTACATTGAACAATTTGACCTGGTATCCATTTTTCCCTTCTCCCATAATTTCTGAGATATACATTATCATTATATCCAAATTCTCTTCAATGGATGTTTTGTCATGATTTAATGGAACTATTTTTGAATTGGCATCTGAAAGTATTATGCTATTATTCAGATCCTTAACTGACATAGATTTCTTTGATTGATCAATTTTCTCAGGTAATCTGATAGTGCTTGTTGGTAACCAAAAATACTGTTTAAAAGTACTATCCTGGACCATATCAATTTGCAACTGTGATCCAGTATTTGAAGTGGGTGTATTAAATGGCAAAAATCTTTTTTCTTTTGATGTTACCCTTATAGTTTCTGTAAGTGCTAATGATGTTAGCAAAGTTGTTTGATGATCACATTCCTTCTTACTAATGTATTCTCTTTAAAAGCATTTGAAATTGCCATATCACCATAATCATTTATTAAGTTACAAATACTTTGTTTAGGCAACTCTGACTGATAATGGACTGCATCTTCTCCATCTTTTAGACTTAATTCCATTTTTCTTATTTTACATGGCCTTAAGTCATCATTCACAGACTCTTCAGGCCAACCATTCTTACAGTGCTCATATACTTTTATTAAGCACTCATCTTTTTGTGTTTCTCTCTTAACATCATTCACATATATATTGGAGTTATCCATGATAGTGAAAAGAACAAATACATCTTCTGGTACATAACTAAGGCTTTGGTTTTTTAAAGGTAATCTACTAAGACTATCTGCACTATTCTCAGATCCAGGTTTGTATTTCAATTCATAATTGTATGCGGCTAGTGTGATAGCCCATCTTTGAATTCTTGGTGAGGCATGCTCAGGTAGGGTTTTGTTTTCTCCAAATAAACCTAGCAATGGTTTATGATCTGTAAAGATGGTGAACTTCCTACCAAACAGAAACTTATGAAATTTCTTAACACCAAAAATGATGCCTAAGCCTTCCCTATCTAACTGAGAATAATTTTTCTCAGCCTGGTTCAAAGATCTACTGGCAAAAGCAATGGGTCTGTCACCCTTCTCATCCATGTGGGACAAGACTGCTCCTACACCATCTGGTGAAGCATCACATGTTAATATAAGTCTTTTCCCTGGGTCATAGTGAGTTAGTAAGGTGTCAGAAGACAAAGCTTCTTTTGCTGTATTAAAAGCAGCATCTTGTTGTTTACCCCAGTGCCAAGTTGCATTTTTCTGTAGCAGCTTGTACAGTGGTGATAGTTTACCAGACAGATTCCCTATGAACTTCGCATAGTAATTTATCAAGCCCAAAAAAGCTCTTAGTTGTTGGGTATTTTCAGGTTTTGGTGCTTCTTTAATGGCTTTTGTTTTCTCAGGTTGAGGTCTGAGACCTTGCTTGCTTAATATATAACCAAGAAAACTAATTTCTGTCAGCATGAATTGACATTTATCTTTGTTTATCTTTAAACCTTTTTCACCAACTATTTTCAAGACTTTATCAAGTGTTTTAAGATGTTCAGTGTCATTCTTACCAGTTATGTACACATTGTCAAAGTAAACACAAACATTTGGAATGTCCTTAAAAATACTGTCCATGACAGCTTGGAAAATTCCAGGGCTGGATGATATACCAAAACATAGCCTTTCATATTGGTAGAGTCCTTTATGTGTGTTTATTGTCGTATAGACTTTTGAATCTGGATGCAGTTGTAGTTGAGTGTAAGCATGACTAAAGTCTAATTCAGTGAATTTGTCTCCTCCTGCCAAATTCAAAGAAATTTCCTCAATGTTAGGAATAGGGTACCTATTTAGCTCTATTTGCTTATTCAGTGTAGCTTTATAGTCTCCACAAATTCTTACAGAACCATCCTTCTTTAACACTGGCACAATGGGCGTTGCCCAATCTGAATAGTCTACCTTCTTTATGATGCCATTAGATTCCAATCTACTTAGCTCATTTTCAATTTTATTCCTCATTGCATAAGGTGGAACTCTAGCTTTGCAGTATCTTGGATTTGTGTCTTTAATGCTTATCTTCACTGTTCTATCATTTAGTAATCCAGGATTACCAAAAACACATTTATTTTCAGATATAACTTTATCTATTGAAGTAAGACTAGATTCTCTTGCATTGTTCAATGAACATATACTCTCCCAATTTAACTTAAGATCACTTAACCAGTTCCTACCTAGTAATGGTGGTCCATTTCCTTCAACCACAAGAAGAGGAAGTTTAACACTTTGACCATTATAACTTACATGAACCATACACTCTCCTATTACCGGAACATTGTCACCAGGTTATGTTGTTAGACACTTGTGACATGGTTGTAGAGGCACTGATCCTCCTGTGACAGCGTCATAGTCCTTCTTTGTGATGACAGTTAGCGATGCTCCAGTGTCAAGTTGGAAGCTGATGCTCTTACCGTTGATATAAACTGGTACATTGATGGGAGCATGACTTATTGATTTCACAGAGAATAGGTTGAAATCCGGCTGCGAATCAGTTTGAGCATTTTCACTGGTAGAGTGGTTCATTGGTTGGGTTAGGTAGTCTTGGTGAGAGTTAACATAGTACTGCCTTTGGTTGCGGTACTGTCTTGACTGGCTAGATTTAGCAACAGACGAAGACTTTGCAAAGCAGGCCTTGGCAATGTGACCTTGCTTTCTGCACTTATAACAAGTTGCCAACTTGAACTTGCATCGATGAGATGCATGGGGACCCTTGCATCGATGACATTTTTGATAATTATTACTAGATTTAGATCTAGGATTTGAACGTGCAGGATGTTTAGCATAAGTTGAAATGCTCTGATGGGGTTGGTGTTTGTTGACTAACCTGCTGTTTACTGCATGGATCTCTGAAGGCGTTAGAGATTTTGCCGCATCGGATGGCTGCTGGAATGAAGTTGCAAGTTGTATTGCTTTTTCTAATGTTAGATCTGACTCGAGCAGCAACTTTCTTTGAATATCAGGGCTGTTTACACCTGTCACAAACTTTTCACATAGTCTGTCAGACAGCGTATCGCCGAATTCACAAAATTTACTTAGATGACGTAAAGCAGCAACATATTCTGATATTGACTCGTTTGGTTGACGAGTCCTACCGTCAAATCTAGCTCGACATAGAAACTTTGATGGGGTAGGCGCATGGTGGTCTGTTAGCAATTTGCTCAGCTCGTTAAAGCTCTTGGTAGTTAGACTAGCTGGTGCGCATAAGTCCTTTAGTAGCCTAAATTGTTGAGGCCCTATGACTGTTAACAAAACAGCTCTCTTTTTGGCTTCTATCGTCACGTCGTTTGCTTCAAGGTAAAAACTTAACCTATCTAGATAATCCTGAATGGTTTCATCATTCGAATCAAATTCTTTTATTTGGCCATACAGCGCCATTATCCTAGAAATACTTAGCCAATATGCTCTAGCAAACCTCTTTTTGAGTAAGTAGGTGCTCTTTCTAGTGGATCATTTATCCTCGTCGCCAATTGAGGTAGATTGGAGTTGTTCTATTATAATACACTGACGAGAAGCCATGCTGTTTGTATATATATTTTATTGGCCTTCGCTAACATGATGGAGACCGGAACAGGAAGTAACAATAGATAAATACAAGGGACATCACTCAATAACAACATTATAAATATAACTAATACAAGAAGAGTGAGTTCCCCTGACCTCACAAATCCCAATATATTACATTAGGAAATACATTACTTTTCTAATTAATCTTAACCATAATCAACCAAATGCAAAACAAAAACAAACACAAACATAACGCAAACACAAACACAAATCCACAATAAAACGCAAACACAAACCTAAACAAAAACACATACCCAAACAAAAACGCAAACACAAACACAAAAGCAAACGCAAAAGCAAATTTAAACACAAACAAAAACGCAAAAACTAACGCAATTACAAAAGAAAACACAAACTCAAACAAAAACGCAAACCTAAACGCAAATAATAACACAGAACATAAACAAAAACTTAAATGAAAGTATAAACGCATGGTGCTCACAGTCTATTCCGAGGCGCCAAAAGCTCCAAAATTGCACCCTGCCGGGGCGCCGGTGGAACCGCCTGATTTAACTTAGTAAACGACTGTAATACCCCAACTTATCCATAGTCTATTGCACTCACTTAAACGAACGTATGCGCCATAGCGCTCACGTGAAGGCCCGGGGCGCCAAATAGCATCCTGTCGTGGCGCCGGCTGACGACTTGGTATAGAGTTAGTGAACGACTACAGTAACTCTCTTTACTCACCGCTTATCGCACTCTTTTAAACAAAATCATGGACCATAGTGATAGTTAAAAGATCACTACATCTACTCTCATCTCTACTAAAGTACTCTCCAATCAATACCATTCTTTTCTACTCCCTTTCAATCTCTTCTAAATATTTCTACTGTGTTGTATTTCGTGTATTGTTTGGTGAATGGCCTGTCGAGTGGTATTCATGTTGCTGGGTAAGTGGTTGTGTGTGTATCACAAAGTTTAATCTTTATTTTATAATCGATATTATTTAATCAATTATTTACAGATACTCAGCCACCAACATTTCCCAATGGATGTCCTCGTGACCTTGAAGTTATTGCCTCTGAAGTTGGACAGCCCACATACGTTAATTTTACACTGCCAGTAGCTGTTGACAATTCAGGCGATGGTGTCATAGTAAATTCAGAGCCGGTATCCCGAGCTATCTTCGCACTGGGGTCCACTAAAGTAACGGTCACTGCGACCGACACACAGGGTCTTCAATCAAAATGTTCATTCTTTGTTGTAGTCAAGAGTAAGTAGAGATCGTATTTTAGTTCTCGCACGAACCAATCCTATTCCTGATCATAAAAGAGATAGCGTTTGTGTAAACATTCTTGCTACAGACGTTTATTGCCCTAATACCTTTAACAAAAGCCTATATTTTCTGTATAGGAGAGAGTGGTGAGAAGTGGAACAACGATTTGAGATGCGAAAAAAACAACTGCAATTATCGGTTCATCTGATAACTTAAATTTTCAGAAAGGCTCTTACAAATATTAATCTACTGTCATTTTTAAGGACATGCTTCTTTTTGATGTATGCTACTTCATAATCCTCCACTTCGTCTATCTTACTCAAAATACATCCAACATAAAAACTTTTTATACTTTTTGTGTCAAACTCTATCAACGCTTGCCCCACTTGCTTTGCTTTTTCTTTTGTTTTACCAAGGCAGAGTGAATTTTATGTTTCTGACAACTACCATCTGGTATGGTAGGCTTCTTGCAATTTCAGTGGTAAAACTGAAGCATACGGTAGAGCAAAGGAACACATACAACTCTGATTCTTCTTGCAAAACGAAGCCCATCGGTTGTCCATGCTTAGCGACAAAGCAATGCAGTGCAAACGGGGAGAGTCAACGACTGTCTGCCATAAGGCTAACGCTTTCTCATTTCAAAACACTTATAACAACACCATAGATACCTCTTTCGTCAGCATGAGGCTTTGCTGTTTTTCTAATGTACTTGCGTTATGTCTGTTAATTATAATATGCCTGACTATCCGTTATCCTTGGATAACTGTTTAGTTGATGATCTTTATCTCCCCCCCCCCCCAAATTGTCACACAGCGTCACAAAAAAAAAGAAGTCACACCTCAGCTTACATGTTTTTATCTTTTTAAAAAATCTTTCTATAATAGTTTCTGAGATAGAACCTTATTTAAATAATAATTGAATAAATTATTAAGTCTAACTAATATTTATGAATTAGAACCAATTGTGATTTAGCACTGTGCATTTAGCATTATAATGCGTTAAACTTTTAAATTGCCAGCAAGGCCTTCTATGGAAGCCGCCATATTTGTTGCGAAAATAAGTAAATAAATCAAGTGACGTCAATAAGCCTGTGAACGTTTATATTTTTTGTGAAAATAAAGTACTATACATGAAATTAATTATTTAATTTCTGTAAATGTGTGTTTAACAGTTCGGGAAAAAGAACATTACTCAATACATAAATACGTAATTTACAGTTCTACACAGAGTGCAGATGCTTTCATCTAAATAAATAGACAAAAAAAAATAATAAAATATACAAACTTCTCTCTTTTAGTAGTATACCGATGTCTATTTAGTAATTTAGGAAAATTATTACATCAAGAGATGGTTTAAATACATAAAGTAAAGACTTCGCACTTGACCGTTAACATGAAACCATTCCGTTAAAATGAGAACTTAATGTTATATAATGAACGGCTGAGTGTTTTTTTTTTCTGGGCACATTGAAATTTTGTGTCCAAAATGACTAAAATAATGCTCTGTTCCACTTCTTACCACGCTCCCCTGGTTATTGATTTTTAACTCTTTTCTTTTCAAAAATAATACCCAAAGCTATATCATGTGACGCCCCCAACATCGATACGTCAGGAAAAAATCTGATTGGGTATAACTGCTCTGATCAATATGTGTTTGGGTCTTCCTGCGACTTATCTTGCATGAATGGGAACCCGATAACTGGCCCCACCCAGATCAGATGCGGGAAAGTAGATGGCAACAATAGTGTACAATGGAAAATGGAAGGAAACTCCCGTCCAATTTGCGAGCGTAAGTCTACTAACTATACTGTCATATTTGTACAGTTAAATATTTTCTCTAACCGTAAATGTACGATAAAATAATTTAGAAATACAACGGGCTTACGTAGTCACATTTACCGTATGAACACCTTTATAATATTTACAGTAAAGGCCTGCAGTAAATTAAGAGTCCCAAAAAATGGTTCTCTTTCGTGTGATTTACTTGGTGGTGGCAGTGAAATTTGCATTTTGATGTGCAATGAAAACTATTCCTACCCTTATCAAGATCCTTTTCAATTTTCCTGTGCGAAGAGCAATGGTACCTGGTCACCTACAGAAACAACACGGGATTGTGTCGGTTGGTCGAATTCACATTGCTAGCTATTTTATACATTTTAAGATAAAACAGAGTATGCTTATTAAATTTGGTCGGAATGTAATGTTGTCTCATTACTTTAACTTGTTGTAAGTTGTAAACTAAAAACTGAAATTAAATTATTATTTTTAAGGCAAGACAGCTTATTTTGAATTATCTGTCTATTAACTTTAATGTTATATTTCACGTTTAACAGATAGACGAAAAGTAGTTTCTGTAACAACCGATCTTCGGTTTTACTACTACACTGGAACGTGTTCTACTGATAGCGCTGACATCAAGGACAAGTTTGTTAAAGCTGTTTCTCGCAGTGTATTCAGTGCTATGTGTTCACAAGACACTCCTTGTACTGTGGACACAGTATCAGTGTCCTGTGGCATTATTGCCCGTAGACGGAAGAGAGACACAAGCAGTTCCTCTACAGAATATACGGTAAAATAAATATCATTTTAGTTCTTTCTAAATGGCCCAAAATACAATAATTTATGTCTGAATACATTGAAAATAAAACACAATAACGTCAGGTTGTGGTTGATTAAACGTGTAAAGGGGATGGAAGCAGGCGTTGCTGCTAAAAAATACAAACAGAAAACGATATTTCAACCCCAAGGGTAGACAGAGAGACAGAATATAGTCAAAGTAGAGACGGAGGAGTTTTAACCCAACGGGACCCGAACCTACCATTCCACGCGATACCAAATCGCCTCGCCCTCCATGCATCAAGTCAGACGTGTAACCACTTCATTGGCTGAAGTGGTTACAAGAGTCTGACTTGATGCGATTTGATGCCGCGTTGTTCGGATCCTGTTGGGTTAAAAACTGCTCTGTCTCTACTTGGACTATGTTCTGTACATCTGTCCAGAGGCGTAGCGAGGGGGGGGGGGGCTGGGGTGCGGATCGCACCGGGTGACACCATTTAGGGTGGTGACACCAAGGCAAAAAATAGCAAAATATATAGAGAAAAACTTGAGGGGGGAGGGTGCAAATCAAAAGTTTGAGGGGGGTGCATGCAAATCGAAAGTTTGAGGGGGGGGGGGGGGGGCGTGCAAATCGAATGTTTGAGGGGGGGGGTGCAAATTGAAAATAAGAAAGTTTGCCCCCGGGAAGGGTCGCTACGCCTCTGGGGGTTGACACCATTAATTACCGCACCGGGCTACACCCGACCTAGCTACGCCACTGCCTCTGTCTTCTCTTGTCATTAAAATATAACTTTCTGTTTATATTGCTGGTAGTACGTTAAGTGACTCCTATGTTTGAATAACATGAAGTTTGAACATCTTATACTAAATATTAACTTCAAATTGTAAACATGTTTTAATTATACATTATCATGCTACCAGTGATAAATTATGTACAAAGACTGTACTTTACATTGTAGATCACTGCAACTATCAATATTGGTGAATATAAATATAAGGGTGACGCTGAATCTACGTTCAAGTACTATGACGACATTGTGATGGGCATCAATTATAAAGTTCAAGCTAAAGCTGATGCAGGTCTCCTGAATGTAACCAGTATCGGCACTTTTGACATGTTTGAATATGGTCAAGTTGGACTTAAATGTGAACCAGGGACTAAAATGGTGCAGAGAACAATGGCATGCGGTACTTAAAATAGCAATAGCATAACATTTTTTATGTTGGTAGTAGGCATTGATATAAAAAATAGATAACTGTATTCATTTTATGAATCTTTAAGTAGTGAGAATACAAAATATATTGCTGCTTACATTACTCAATCATTCAATAATTACTTAACCCATATAGGGGTCGTTGGGCACCACAGTTGAAATATATATATATATATATATATATATATATATATATATATATATATATATATATATATATATATATATATATATATATATATAGCGAGAGAGAGAGGGAGAGCAATGTATATGTGTGTGCGTGTGTCTGTTTGTTATGCATGAATACAAATTTCATCCGCTTGTAATGAAACTTTGCTAATTGTTGAAAATATTCCAGGCTAGATATCTGCGAAAAAAGAATTTCATATTTGCAGGGGTGGCGCCCCTGGTAGGCGCGATTCCATTCTTCTCTATATACGGTATATAACAATAAAAGTCGATTTCAGTTGGACAGCGTTCATGCGATCACCATGAAACTTTGGGGTGTTGCTTAGAACACTCCAGGGGAGGCTTCTGCAAAAAAATTTGTGTTGAATTTTGCAAGGGCGGCGCCCAGGGAGGGTGCGATTTTTCTCTACCTTTGGTTTATTAACAATACAGGTCGGATGCGGTTGGACACTGTTCATCCGAGTACATGAAAATTTGGGGAGTAGATGATGAGAATACTTATGAGCGGTGCCCGGGAGATAGCTATTTTCGTCAATACACGGTTTTGCACCCAGAGCGGCTATGTTAGCACTTGACATCCATTAATCGGGCGTCCTACATAGATGGTAAGGGGTACTACTATATTCTGCGGTGAAACTGCAATAGACGCAACCGCCGGCGACCCGTCGATTGTACGAACCGAAGCGCTCAGGGCTCCCGTGTGAGCACTATGGCTTCTATGTTCGTTTAAAAGAATGTCTTACACTAAAGACACAATGAGCAGCAATAATTGTTAAATTTATCGATTCAGGCGTGTTCTCCGGCGCCATTTCACGGGGCGATTTGGCGCAACATGGTGCCTACATTTATTTTAAACAGGATATGAATACAATAGGTTGCTACAGTCGATCAATATATTGAATCAGGGTCGTCCTCCGGCGTCTCTGCAGGGTGCGATTTGACGAACCGGACTATCCCGTGATCGCTATAGCGCCTACGTTCGTTTTAAACAGTGCGATACGCTGTGGATACAATGTGGCATTATAAATGTTTACTAAACATAATTAGGCGCGTCGGCCGGCACATCGGCAAGGTGTGATTTTGCGCCCTGCGTTATCCTATGAGCACTACGCACCTACGTTAATTTTAAGGAACACCCTACAATAATGACAAGGCGGCACACGACATGGGATGATTAAACTGTGCAAGGGACGTACGCCGCGTCCCTGCGGTAGTGTAATCGAGGGCTCATGAGAGCGCCCCTCTACGTCACCGACACTTAGACAGTGAGTGATTAACGGAGATATTACGGTGAGTGATGAATGTACACGTTAAGCTTTCATACAGCACACACTTTCGCGTGCTAATCTGTAGTGTAGGTTATGCACGATTACAACTTTAATCAGATCGCAATGAAACATTGGGAAGTTGTTGAGAATACTCCTAATGAGATTTCTGCGAAAAATTTAAATTTTCAATTTCGCGGCGCCACAGCAGGGTGCTATTTTGGCGCCCAGGGTTATCTCGTAAGCGCTAAGACGCATACGTACGTTTTAAACATTGCGATACACTATGGATACAATAGGGAATTATGGTCGTTCACTAAACTCAATTAGACGCGTTTGCTGACGCCCCAGTAGGGTGCGATTTGCCAAGGGCTATCCTCGGAATTTCTTCTAACCCCGCGGCAACGCTCGAGGACGGGCACGCTAGTTTTCTTTCATAATTTTTCGCCGTCTCGGTTCTCTGCTGCTCTGAGTAATTATTCGTCGGGCTGTCCCGTCCAACGTTTAATTTCCCTTATCAATTGACGGCTTTATCTTCCCCTTGTACTCCCTTTGGTACCGCGCTCTGAAATATTGTTGTTGGTTCGCGTGACACCCCCATACTTACTCATCTTCCTTATGTGACTATGTTCAGTAAACTCTCGAAAGGACCAATTGCATTAGTGATCTTTTCATTGACCCATTACCGTTTTTTATTTATTTTGATAATTTTTTTTTCATTGAGTAAGTTTTAGCGCAATATCCTTACAGGATTTGCGATTATTAATTCGTCATTTCTGAATGGATGGATGGGTGGATGGATGTGTGTCCGCAATGGATGGATGTGTGTCCGCAGCTTTAAGTCGTATCTCCTCCTCAACGAAGCAATATCGAGGACTAGTTCCAAAGCAAATATGTTAAGCAAGTTCCGAGGATGATTGGGGGCTAAAAACATTCCCGGAATTCCTTCTTGGATTTCCCGGAAAAGCCAAAAAAACCTCGAGAAAAATGCAGTTTTTGGACCATATCTTGGCAACCAGACCACTTAGCGACTTGAAACATTTACTAATCGATTCCAGCCATAATTTAGAACAATATTGCCGAAGAAAGTTTTCAAAAATATCCTTTCGTTCGGTCACAAACAAATATTTACTACTTTTTTAAACTTAGCATCGTGTAGGCCTACTCGTTAAAATAAAACTTTTTCCGTTGATATAGGTTAATATAGTTGTCTTTTTTTAGCGCAAAAATATATCCTTTCGTTCGGTCACAAAAAATTAAAAATTGTTATGGATAACATAAGGAAATTGCGCTTAAATTGTCACTAGACTTTTTATTAACTTGTTTTAAATGTATTTGTACTTTTAGCTGGATGTGGAACGGGCTACATATTCAACAACGAAACTGAATCTTGCCAGGCGTGTCCTGTGGGGACATATCAGGACCAGGAAGTTGCTTTTTCATGCACGCCTTGTCCTGTTGGTAAAACGACAAAGAACAAAGGCTCTACAGCTCTCAACCAATGTCTTGGTAAATAATGTTTTACAGTCGTGGTATTTGTTTGAGTGTTTTTCGTTTCTTGAAACTTTTGCTGTATGAACCTTAATTTGTTGTGAGGAAATAATAATTTGAATCAAAACTTACACTTTTACTTAAACAAAATTGTATATCTAAAATTTGTATTTTTTAAAATAAGGTAAGTAGACTAGTTTAAAATTAATTTATTGAATATAAATACTAGTAAACTATAATGTTATTTTAAGTAGTAATTACTGAAATAAAATCATATTTGTTAGTAACTATTCTGTCCCTGGCTTAGATTTATGCACCGCTGGCTCTGTGTCACAGACTGGCATTAAACCCTGTCAGCCATGTCCTACCGGCACATACCAGTCTGCTATTGGTATGACACTCTGCAACAAATGTCCTTATGGAACCTCGACGACATTACCCGGACAAACGTCACAAGCCAACTGCAAGTGTGAGTAATATTTTTAGTTTAATTCAAGATGCGCTTATAATATACCTTTTTGTTTCAGTTCTCATTTTACGTCTGACAAAATTATCTCGCATTCTAGTAGTATTTTCTTGAAAATCTCATAATTATCGACATTAATTAATATATCCTAACTTCCATTTTTAAATATTATTAGCATAATATGGTATCTGTAATATGTCAACAGTCTATGATGTTAAGCAAACAGAAAACAGCACAGGCCCAGTAATCCAAATCTTTGATGCAGTACCAAAAAGATTCTCATTTATGACCTGGATATCGGATGTAACAATTTCATCACTAAACATTGTAAATAACAACACAGCCAAATTCTCTCTAGACCAGTTTGTGGTCAACATAGTTCCAGAAACTGTTGACTCTAACAGAACCCTAAGGTAGTATTTTTTAAAGGTATATTCTAAAATTAGAATCGAATTTTGCACAAACTGTTTAACACTTAAAGAAAACAGTAATACAAATGATACACGAATATCTGATTTGTTTTTCTATTTTAGACTTTTTTTCTGTAATACATTCTAGACATCTAAAAATGGAATATTGAAATGGTTAGAATTTTATTTTCAGAAAATGGAATCATGTGGCTCTGACATACTCAAGCGGAAATGCAACAGTGTACCTTAATGGCCAGCAGATCTATTTTTCTACAGGCTTGAACTTCACAAATCTAAACAAGAAGTCTCTGTACTTCAAAAAATCTAAAGATATCCCCTGTAAGTTAATTTTAAGGAAATACAGCGGTTTTATCCGTAATTGTATGCAAAGTAGCTACGCATATTAAATTTTAATAATTTTAAACAGTATTCTACTAAACAATTAAGCTACTCTAACGCTTGTTTCATAACTTTTTAAAGTAGTCTTATTATTTTTAGTAGCAGGAGATATTTTCAGTGCCTTACAAAAGAAAGTAAAATGAAGAATATAATAATGATTTTACATTTGATTGGAATTGAAAAAAATACAATTGTGTTCTGCTCAGATATTGTAACAAGCGGCATACAGATGACGACCACATTTTACTCAGCCTCTCAAATCAAAGAGTTTAGCCTCTCCTGTACCAAACAGGTTGACAAGCATGTCTTAGCTCCGGACCCTTTTGGCATAACATTGATGACACCAAGCTCCTGCAGTGGTAATAACTGAAAAAGTTTGATTTGATTTTATGTCACATCAAGAACTTACTTTAACAGATTAATGTAATACTGAATGTTATTTAAAAAAAACATCCTTTCTTACTAAATGTTTTAGTTATCTATGATATAAGCGGACTGGTAGTGTGTAAGACCTCGTGTCATCGCTATAGATTTTGGAACCATAAAAGTAAACATCACACAGTGACGCAGTGCTTTTCAGTGCATCGCAGTGTCTTATTATAAGTATTATAGTAGGGTTTATTTTTACAACGACTAAAATATATTTTAGAGTTGCCACAGTTTTTACTCTTTTGCATAACGTAAAGAAAATATTAAATACACGCAAATTGCTAAAACATATTAAACGGATCAATGTCAAATATAATTGTCGTTTTGATTCCTATAAAAAGTTGATACATTTCAATAAAAGTAAGGTCGAATTAATTAATTAATTAAACTGTTTTGTAATTTTGCCAAGGGAGGTAATCTAAAAATAAATTCAACTCACGCTAATACAAAAATGTGAATGCAAAATCTCGAAAAGGGAATTATTGTTGGAATTATATAATTAGCAAAATGTGAATGCAAATCCGCAGATGACATTATTGTAAGAGGACATTATTGTTGGAAAATTATAATTAGCATGGATTGATAAAAAGCTATCTTTTATTTCTTTTATTCACTAAACGTCCTGTTTATTAATTATAATTTTTAATCAACTATTTTGCACTTTTATAGACACGTCATCAAGTTCATTAGGTGCGCTATGGTTTTAGTCATGAAACTATTGTAAATTTTTAAAATTTAGAGTACTGAAAAAAATGCATGAATTGATATAGTACAAAACACGGATATTTCAAATATTGCCTTTTATTTATTTTCTACACTGAAAGTACTGTTTACTAATTATTAATCTAACATTCCGTTTGCGGACAAGCTGGGGTTTTTATAGTCATTCACTGAATCAGGCGCGTCCGCCGGCGCTTGGACAGGGTTCGATTTGGCGCCACGGGCTAAACTGTGAGCATTATGCGTTTATGTTTGCATTTAAGTTGTGTTTATGTTATGAGTGTTGTGTTTGTTTTTTCGTTTGTGTTTTTTTGGGTTTGTGTTTGCATTGTGTTGGTGTTTTCATTTGTGTTTTTATTTGCGTTTGTTTTTTCTTTTGTGTTTGTGTGTTGCATTTGTGTTTTCGTTTGTGTTTGCATTGTGTTTGTGTTTTCTTTTGTGGTTGTGTTGTGTTTGTGTTTTCTTTTGTGTTATGTTTGTTTTGTGTTTAGTTTTGTTCTGTTCCCAAGTTGTTACATTTAAAAAGATTTACCGTGGCGGAGCACGGGTATGCAGCTAGTATAAGTATACAACCGTTGAGTTTTTTTGCTTAAGAATTCGCTATATCAGAGAAATCAAGGTTAGACTAGCGGTTTAAGCCAGTGAGCACAGGTAAATAATCATTTCGAATTTTAATAGATACATTTCAAATGATTAATGTCTTAAAAGAGATGCGTTTATTGAAATAAAACAGTACCATTATATCATGTTGGAAAACGAATAGATTACGAACTAAACTGAAATTGTAAACTTAGATGATAATGTTAAAACTAACATTAGATTAATAATACACCAATATATCTAATCACATACATAATTAAAATTGAGTTTAAGGAAAGTAATAAAAATATTATGTAATTTACATTTTAATATGAAAGAATATTTGTCCATGATTAGACAACAACTTTTGCTCTGATCGACCTTGCGGCCAAAATGGCGTCTGTGTAGCCGGTAGCCAAAGGCTGACATGCCTGTGTGACAGTCCTTGGTCAGGTGACAGGTGCCAGAATGTCACAAATTTCTGTGCTGACAACTTGTGTGCCAACGGGTCATCTTGTATCAGCAGGCCTGAGAATAAAACCTACACTTGCGTCTGTTCACCTGGGTTCTACGGAGTCTTGTGTAACAAGAAAATAGGTCAGTCTATGAAGATTTTTCACATATATCTTCTTGCTTTGTCTTTGTATGCTAGTATTTGTAAATTGCATGAAAAAAACTTTAGACAGATATAGTCACAATACATAAACTGTTTTTAATCTCTCGAGAGAATTTTTGGTTGTGTTGTGCCAGTGTTTGAAATTATTTTTATAAGTAACGCGTCAACTTACAAGCTGGGGTGCGTGGAGCACCTGGTCAAAATGTTCAGCCGCCTGTGGGTCAGGCGAGAGGACAAGAACCCGACAGTGTAACAGCCCCGGGACTGACGGGTGTCTAGGTGGTGGTACGGAAACAGAAGTGTGTAAGAGCGCGTGTCAAGGTAAGATTATATTTTAACATCGCACATGTTTTATAATAAACTGCTGTTAACACAGGTTTCATGCCATTTTTCTTGGAATCTCTTGTAAAAGACTAATTTTAAGTTAAGATTAAACGTTGTATTGTTAACCATGAAGGCACCTAAAAAAATAAAGAGTTTTAAATATTACATGTATTGTTATTAAACGTATTGGATGTAAACCTTTACGTTATGATTACATAACAAGACTGTCAGTGGAGTGAGTGGGTAACTTCTCCATGTTCTGGGACCTGCGGAGACCAACAAGCTATACGAACAAGAAACATTTTGCAGGATGCAGTGGGTGATGGTATGCCTTGCAGAGGACTGGTTCAAACAGTTGTTCAATGTAATCTCACAGCATGTCCAGGTAATTTATTTTAAAAGTAAAAAAGTACTTATTCCTTACTGAAAATTTCTAAAATTTCGTTTTATAATGTCACGTGTACTAGCGAGACGTTAGCGAAATTAGCCAATTCAAATCAACAAGTATCTTTACTGAGGTGTGTTTACAAAGGCACACCTAATAACTCGTTACAACGAGAGAAACATGTAGTCTTTATTCCGCATTCTATTCAATTTAATCCGTAACGAAATAGTAAGAGCAGGTTGTAAAAATAACTTAGGCACAGATATTTGTAAAAAGGGATTTTTGTGACGTTTTATATGAAATCATTTAACATGCGTTCTCTGATTAATTATCTCTATGGAGTTAAAACCATTTTTAAAACAAAATATTATCAGCTGTGAACTTGATTAGTACGTTGTTACATGAATGACCTGGGTGGTTTGTTTTGTTGTCTAACTAAAAATTAACCTTTTTATGTTTCACAACTTAACAACCCAAAAGCCTCTCTGCTCGATGATGAAGATTGAACAAAGTCGTATATTACGTTATAGAACTTAACATTATTAATGAGCTTCGTATGAAAGGGAATATTTTATGCTTTAGTGAGCGCTCAAGCTTTTAGTATAACCATGCCAGCGTATGGATTTAATAAAGCTAAACTAAACTAAAATGACATTTTACTTACGATATATTTTTTCATATGTAAATTGTTTTTTGTTTTTATCAATATAATAAAAGCTTTTTTCTTAAAAAAATGTATGTGAAAATTATTTAGTGTACATTTTCACATACGCTTCTACGATTTTGACATAGTGAACGGTAACTTTGGCGCGTGGTCAGAATGGTCACAATGCAGCGCTACCTGTGGAGGGGGCAGTTCCACCAGGAGACGGCTCTGTGATAATCCTCCACCAAGTAACGGCGGGGAGCAGTGTGACAGTTCACTGGCTGTTGAGAAAATTGTGTGTAATGCTAAAACTTGTCCTGGTAATTTTGGAATTTTCTTAGTACTCTGTCATAACAATATAACAATTCTAACGTTTTATTAGCAATGTGTGTACTTATTTTTTTATTTATACCTCGTGTTTGTTCTTAAAATCTTCAGAATGTAAATTGCCAGAACTGCGAACATGGCACACTTCTCTGAACTGTTCAAATTCTACAGAAGATCAAATGCTAGTCTGTAATATTGTCTGTGCTCCCGGTACTATGGTTATAGATTTTGAGAACACCTTTACGTGTGGAGCAATAACGAATTACACCTGGTCTCATCAGACTATCGATAATCCTACTGGCTTACTTCCTGATTGTACAGGTATTATGTTGTATTAATTCGTATCTATTTGCATTAACTATATTTTGCGTACTTACTATTATCTATAAAACATGTTTTTTTTTTTACTTTGAACTTTTATTTCCCCAGAAATGAAAGTGCCTATAGAAGTTGAGCCAACGCTTGTGACCACATTTGCTGTGGATTGCAATAACAAAACACAAAAACAAGAAGTGCAAAACGTTATATCAGAAGAGTTTAGACTTCATGGATGTATAGAGGAAAATTATTGCTCCTTTGATATAGACTCAGCCGCAAACTGCAGCAGTAGCAGGCGGAGATCCATCGGTACATACTCGACATTTCTAACCATTTCTTTTTTTTTTTTTAAAAAAAGACACTGTTACTTTTAATAAAACGAATATAACCTGAAAAATGAAAATATATTCATTTAATTTTATAAACAATAATTTTCAAAATGTTTTAGAAAGAGATCCTAAACTTATTCGAACAACATTAATTAATGTTTTAATTTTATTATTAATTAACTAGACCTGCGTGTTCATTTAAATAACTTAAAATATAATTTAAAACAATAATATTTGCTTTGACATCTAAATTAATTTGACCACATTTATTTTCAGGAACTTTAACAGTAACTATAAATTTGTCATTGTCGAGAAGTGCTGAAATTGACCCGACGAAAAATTCCTCCCTTCCTGGTAAACTATTCGTTTAATTAAATTATTTAGCAAAAAAATCCTTTATATAGAAAAAGAAAGAAAAGTTATATTTAAAAAAAAATGTTCTCCATACCATTTACAATGTTGGACCTTATGTTCTCTCAAAATTTAAATTAGTAAATCAATATATAAACATTATGACTTAATTTCAGAAAATGATGCAGAGCACGAAATAGAAAAGCTGATAAATTTAGAAAATCTTCTTAACCAATTGGTAAACAAAACGGAAGATGGGTTAGTATTGTCTCTTGGTCCAAATTATCCCAGTGGAAATGTGGAATCTGTTCAAACCAAAATCGTTTGTCAAAAAGGATCTGGATATTACAATGGATTTTGTGGTAAGAAGTAATGGTAGTTTGTGAAATTAAACACAAAAAAAAATCTCTTTTTTTGAGTCACTAAATAAAGTAATTAATATACTCTGAATATTTTAGCACAGAAAAATCTAAATATTTTTAGAAAGTAAATAATTTGTTTGATCTAATTTGTTTTGTTTTTACATAGTGGACTGCCCAGCAGGATCTTATTCAGATGGTAATGGTTCTTGTGTACTTTGTGACAAAGGGTATTTCCAAGAGCAGCCTAAAATGAGTCAATGCAATAAATGCCCAGGAGGTAAGTAATCACATTTTCAAAATAATTACATTTTATTATGTTAGAAATATAAGTTTTTAAAATTTATTTTTGACTAAAGATTTAGGCTCACGTGCATCATTTGTCTTTATCAAACATCCACAGACACCACAACATCAAGCAAAGGATCCTATTCCATGGACCAATGCACAAATGAACCGGTTACTTTTCAGGATATTTACCCAAACTATGTGCCCAGCAATGATCTAAATACCAAGAAGGACATTACTGTGAATGGTAATTTACTTTATTTAAAATGGGAATGGTTGTAGGGGAATAATTGTTTGAAGTTTTTTAATTTATTGAAATAAGAACGTTTTTTTTAATTGTCTTCTTTCTCTATTTTAGTGAACGATGATCATATTGCTCTGATATCTGGACTGACTGTTGGTATTGTAGTGGGTGTCGTTATAGTTGCAGTTGTAATGTTCATCCTAATAAGGTAAGTTAATTTAAATTATGATTTGATCATTAATACATTTTATTAGGAGACTTTAATCAACTCTGTATTTTAATATACGATTTAAAATAAAATATGCATTACAACTAATTTCTTTAGACATAAATTGTAATGCAATAAAAATACTTTTCATATTAAAATTATAAATAAACCGCTATAACAATTGTAATGTGAGAACTAAAGCAGATGTCAACAACATATTAAAGCAAGGTTAATGTAGGATCCTAATATATAAAAGCCCGCAATATATTCTCCGAGGCTATGAAATCAGTATGTGCAGCAATATATGGATAACTTAATGATACGGACTTTTGTTGAAATTAATATGTTAGATGTATTAAATATATAAACTAAATTTAATTTAAGAAGGAAAATAAAACTAAAGATATTTTCGAATGTAGAAACACATCTTTGATTATGCAACCGTAAACTTACGTATGGTTGTGACAAGAACGCTCCAGAGAAGATTGAAGTAACACAAAAATAATGACTGGCAAATATAATGAAGTTGCATGAAACTATCAGAGAAATATATTAAAAAAAAACAATATTAATAAAAAAGTTAAAACTACGGAAAGTACACAATACATATGGCGTCATTGAATGTAAGATGAAAATAGAATTAAAAATTGAATGTTGAAAATGATGCACAATACTAATGACGTCATCTTATGTCGAATTCGCTTCCGACACTTTCTTATTTTAGAATATGAAGAAATGAACTATATTATTTAAATCTATAAATCTACTTATTGAGACGTAAGTAAAGTTCCCTTTCAAACATGTCGGTCTACGAGGCAAGTGAAGTAGATTTCACTTGTTTCTTTGACCTCGGCACATGAAGGGATAGTGTGGTCAGCACTATGCCCAGCCGCCTTCACTTACCCTAACGTGAGTTAGGTACCCATCAAAGTTGGGTGGACTCAGGGACGGTCTACTGACTTAAAAACCTGGATTCGAACACGAGACTTACGGATAAGATGTCCACGGGTTAGCAGTTTAGTTCTCTACCGCTAGGCCACCCCGTCACTTATCAAGACATACGTTAAGAAATTCTCGGCCAAAAATAATAAAAATAAATTAGATTATAAAAAAGCAAAAATACAATTGAATAGCCGGGTTTTTAACTTAATCATCCAAGTCGCTTAATAAGTATGGGAATTTAATACGGTGTTGTGTTGATAAATAATGTATATAATTTGGTTTTAATTGTTCTAATAGGTATTCGAAGCCTATGTTATTTTAAATGTGTCGTATTTTTTTTTAGCTATTTAGTTATTTCTTTGATTTGTCACTTTTATCGTTCAACGTGTGGTAAATAACTATTATATAAAATATATTTCTCAAACAAGCATAACATTTAAAATATATATAAGCCTTAATTCACGAGTAACAGCAACCGGTGACTAGTAAATACAAAAACATACGTAAATAATCATATGAATATAGAAAAATACACTACGTAAGTTACATTTTGTTTCTTCTAACAGAAAACATAAACGAAATCAAACATCTTTTGGTGGATTCAACAAAGGCCAAGCTAACTTGAGATTAGATGACCTACAAACCAACTAACTTGAAAACAACTACATTTTCTATAACTCTCATTACACGTGTATTCGCTTGTGTATACTTACTGCTTTAGTTTATATAGCATTGGTAAAGGTTATATTTGTTTTACATTTTTAATGTGAATACTGTTATTAGATGTTTTAAATGTTAAAACCCACCTATTTTCACGGCTTAGTAACAAATTAAATATATTAAAGACTTGTAGTTTATTTAAATATATATTTTTTTCCCCCTTAAATTTAAACCTTGAATCTAAACAAACATATTTTATTATTCATTTCTTTTAAATAAAAATACGACTGTTTACTGTATTTACACATTTTTTTGTAGGCAAACATATTTTATGTAACACAATTATATTGGCCTATTCAAATAAAGCTTAGTTTTAAAATGTTGTGTTAATTTTTAAAATATACTCTTATAATGACTAAAGAGATCACCTGTAAATAGAGAGGTGTCTGATTTAGATTGGAATAAAATAATTTGTTTTTGTTGAAACTTTGTTTCGGTGGGGGGGGGGGGGGGGGGGGCAGACTTAATTTTTTGGGGCGATGGGAAATATAAAAAAAGGTTTATATTTTCTGAAAGAAACACCAAATGCAATATTTTTAGTGAGTGAGCCTCAATTGGACATCAGTAAATCATGTCGCATTGCTTGGCATACTTAAAAATTTAAATAACTGATACGATTAATAAGATACGGACTATTGTAATTTAGTTATGAGATAATTGTTTATATATATATATATATATATATATATATATATATATATATATATATATATATATATATATATATATATATATATATATTTATATCTTAGTTGTAAAAAGTAAGGAAATATGTTTTAGTAATATTCATAAATGTCAATAAAAATCGTAATTGAAAAAATGTGCTAAAAGTAAATTTTGTTTGCATTTATGCTGGTTCTGTTATAGAACGTATATCTATCAATGAACTTTCTATGAAAGAAAAAATATTATCATTATTCTATAATAGTTATCATTTTAAATCATTTCTAAAATAAAAACTCTTTCAAACAAATTTATCATTTAATCTTATTTAGAAATTTGAAAATTTTAATTATACTTACCCATGTGTAATGAAGTTTACATTTAACTATCTAAAATATCTGAAATGTGTTTCTAGCAAAGTCGTAAGTAAAATATTTTAATCTTTTAACCATCTAATTTCACATCATCTTTATATCTAGCATATTATTTTGCTACTTCTAAAATAACAAAGAGAAGTAGTCTACTTAGATCCCCATGTTATATATTTGTCTCTAACTCCAAAAAATTTTATTATATAAAATATAGCTTATGTATAAAATATAGCTTATTATATTACAAAATAGCTTGTAATATTTCAAAATAGTTTAAGATATTACAAAATAGTTTTAGATATTATGAATTAGCTTCAAGATATTACAAAACATCTTCAAAATACAAAACAAAGTAGCGTAAGATTTAACAAAATAGCTTAAATTATGACACAGCGTCTTAAGATGTAATACGAAATGGTTTAGCTCAAATATATTAAACAGAAATATTGCAAACATTGTGCAATTACAAAATACTCGCAAATCTCAAAAAAGTATTTCTAATTTCTGCACTATTTTCTTCCGCGGATCTTCCTACGCATTCTCACCTGGAGGTCAGTGATGATTCTCGTCGCGTTAGACAGGAGAATGACGGCGATAAAAATTACGAAGATGAAGGAGAAAGAGCCGCCCAAGACAACGGCCGTGAATACTTTCCCGTCTGCTTTTGCTGTTTTTCCCACGTTTCTTTAACTTGCTTTCGTCTCTGTTTTTCCGATCAAATCTTGCGATCGAAATTTCTGGCACTTCCCAGTTAGCTAGCGCGCTGAAATTTTCAGGGAAGCTTTGTTTTGGATGACCATAGAATATTCAATTATTATTATTACAAAATTGATCCATGGAAACATTTTATTGAGCATTTTAGACCGCTATATAATTGTAGTAAAAACGTGGGGAAAAAGGGACATCACCCAGTAACTGTAATTTGATGAAAACAAGGTTCGGTACTCTCCCTCTTTGCTTACTGAGTAGTGTTCACGCGGTGTTTGTGTACAAACAACCGTAACAACTGGTGGCCAGTATGGGGGAGACGATATGGTCGAGTGGTTGGGCACACGATTGCTATCCCACTCGACACGGGTTCAAATCTATGTGTTCTAGTCAGTAAAGTATTCACACAACGTGTTTTTTACGAGTTGTCTTTTTACGAGTTGTCTTCGTTTACCAAAAAAAAAGTGAAAAGATAAAATCGATAGCAAGATTTTAATGCAAACAGACAAAGACTAAAATGTAGAAAATAATAATCATTAAAAAAGTTTTAAAAAACCCACGTTTTCTGATTGAACTAAAAAGTAGAAAATAAATGCTATACATCACAATAATGCAAGCGATCACTCTACTATAAGCGATCAAAAACGTGGGGCGCCGTTATTTTCTTACAGTTTCTAATACTGTTGACTCTCTACAAGCTCCCTAATAAAAGTCAATAGTATTATCTAATCAATAGTAATATAACATTTACTTCGGCGCCCCACGTTTTTTAATGATTATTATTTAAATTTGTTCGTTTTATTACATTTGTTTAATAACGATTCAACGGTCAAAGGGGAACAACTACAACACTTCCTCGTGTATGGAGTTTAGTACATGTACTGTAATCGTGCATAAAATAGAAATCGTGATTTTCGATATGTTTCGACGATTTATACATCCCAGAGTCAAAAATTTTTTTTTTTAAATTTTGTCCGTATGTCTGTGTGTATGTGCGTGTCTGTCTGTTAGATGCAATTTTACTTACATGTGCCATACACAAGTACGTGTAGGTTTTTATCCGGTTTTGAACAATTTCCAGTATTTAACTGTATTTTGTACAGTACGGTACAGTACAGTACAGAACAGAACAGACAGACAGTCGGACGGACGGACGGACAGACAGACAGACAGACAGACAGACAGACAGACAGACAGACAGACAGACAGACAGACAGACAGACAGACAGACAGACAGACAGACAGAGGGACAGACCGACAGACAGACAGAACTGAACTGAACAGAACAGAACAGAACTGAACTGAACAGAACAGAACAGAACAGAACAGAACAGAACAGAACAGAACAGAACAGAACAGAACTTAACAGAACAGAACAGAACAGAACAGAACAGACAGACAGACAGACAGACAGACAGACAGACAGACAGACAGACAGACAGACAGACAGACAGACAGACAGACAGACAGACAGACAGACAGACAGACAGACAGACAGACAGACAGACAGACAGACAGACAGACAGACAGACAGACAGACAGACAGACAGACAGACAGACAGACAGACAGACAGACAGACAGACAGACAGACAGACAGACAGACAGACAGACAGACAGACAGACAGACAGACAGACAGACAGACAGACAGACAGACAGACAGACATCCCAGTTAATAATCTAACCTTGGTTAATTTTTCTGATTATTAAAATAAAACGTATTACATGGCCCTCAGCGGCCCAAACTGAAAATTTTTTTGCAGCCAAATCGCACCCTACCAGGGCGCCGGCGGACACGCCGTATTCAATTTAGTGATCGTTTGTAACGCCCCATGCTATCGATTGTCTATTACACTGTTTAGACCAAACGTAGTCGCCATAGTGCTCACGCAATAGACCAGGGCGCCAAATCACATCCTGCTGGGGGTCCTCCCATGCAAACTTAAATCCCACCTCCCATCACCGCCCACCAACTCCCATGCCCTCTCCCACCCCAGAAACCTTCTGGGGAGTATTCATCAACTCCCTAAAGTTTTATAACACCCTGATAAACTGTGTCGAACCGCAGTCGTCTTTTATTTTTATATACCGAATATAGAGAAAAATCGCACCCTCTTGTGGCGCCGCCCTTGCAAAATAAAAATTATTTTTTTAAAGAACCCTTCCATTGAATATTCTAATCAACTCCACAAAGTCTCATGGAGATCGGATAAACGGTGTGAAACCGTAATCGACTTTTATTTTTATATACCGCATATAGAGAAAAAACAAATCGCGCCCTGCCAGGGCGACACCTCTGCGAATTTCAAAATGTTTTTTGTACAGAAAACTCCCTGGAAGTTTTCTTAACATCTTCCCAAGGTTTCATGGCGATCGTGTGAACGGTGTCACTTCAATTCCTTATTTATTTTTTTAATATACCGTATATAGAGAAAAAAATCGCGCCCTCCCGTGGCGCCACCCTTGCGAAATTAAAAAAAAAAAAATTTTTTTACTGAACCCTTTCAGGTAGTGTTCTTATCAACTCCCCAAAGTCTCATGACTATCGGATGAACGGTGTCAAACAAAAATTGACTTTTATTTTTATATACCGTTATTACGAAAAAACAAATCGCGCCCCGCGATCGTGTGAACTGTGTCACTGCAATTCACTTTTATTTTTTTTATATACCGTATATAGAGAAAAATCGCATCCTCCCGTGGCGCCGCCCTTGTGAATTTGAAATACTTTTTTTCGCAGAAACCTCCCCATAAATATTCTCAACAACTTCCCAAAGTTTCACGGCGATGTGATAAGATGTGTAGTAATGCATAAAAGACACACAGACAGACTGACATACATTGCTTTATATATATATATATATATATATATATATATATATATATATATATATATATATATATATATATATATATGCTTTGTTTTATAACTAAGTAGCCTACATTATACGCTATCTAACCACTTGCTCCTGCTCCTAACCCTAACCCTGAAACGTCCACGTGGACCACAGACACATAAGCAAAATAAATTTAAAAGTTGATCTAGTGTACTTGCGTCATGAATTCGATGAAAAGGCTGCACGAACCGGTTTTGCTAAATACATTTTGCATATTGACACACGCAACCTGCCATTTTCTGTCAACTTCCTCTTAGCTGAAATTTTATCATTAGTCATGTTTAGCATCTACCTTTTTTTTGTTAGTCGTAGCTTCAGCTGTTGGCATTTACGGCTTATCCATCAACATTATTAATATAGCTTTTTTTAAGTTTTGATTTCTTAATTTATTGACAAAAGAATTGCATAATGTTATAAAGAACAAAACCAACCATGAATCTTCCTTTATTTGAAAATATTTACTCAAAAGCTGGTCCTATTTATATCATCTTCGGATCTTTAGTTGCACTTATTCATGCTTCAAATTTTTCCAATGATGAAAAAGTAAGTATAGACATTTTTACTTTTTCGTATACAGTGTATCGAGGAAGTATTGTAATCGTGCACAAAAAATCAAATGAAATTTTTACTTTACTGGCATATAATGTAGGCTATAGAGAAAGTATTGTAATCGTGCAAAAAAACCCAAATCAAATCGAGATTTTTGCAAATCTCGACGTTTTACACCTGGGTCGGAAAAACAAAAGTTTGCAATCTTGTCCTTATGTCTGTGTGTGTATGTGTGTGTGTGTGTCTGTGTCTTTGTATGTAAACACGATAAATTGAGTACCGTTACAGTTAGGTTGATGGAATTTCATATATAAGTATTATATCGAATGTGTACATCCGTATAAACTTTTCAGCGATTTCCAATAACCGGAAAAGAAACTTTTACTACTTTCAATTTTTCAAAAGCCTATAACTTGAGTACTATTTCAGATAAATCAATGAAATTTCATATGTAAGTAAAAGATCTAATTCTCTCGTTGACCAGAAGTAGTAATGTAGGCTATTTCCGAGTTATTTTTGTGATTTGTTGAGAAAATCGTGATACTTTTATACTGATTCAGATGAAGCTTAGACGGGGCTCATTCAGTTACTACCTATTAACACTTTATTTTTTTAGTTACGAACGACTACATTATCGGGATATTTATGTGAATTAAGATCTATAAATTATTGACTTTTATTGACTTATATTTTACTTAAAACTTTATTGGATTTGTTTTTGAAATGTGTCAGATAATAAAAGCATAACAGTTTCCGACTCACTCATAGCATCCGTGTTTATGTTATCAAACACAATTGCTTATGACGCTCGACAAGCTTTATAACCGGAATCCAACGAATAAAATCTGTTGACCCCGATTTATATTTAATAGCCTAGACATGGTCTGTTAAAAGAATGACAAAGTGTGCGAACAATACTCTTACCTAAAGTCTTATCTTATGGTAACAGTAAAGTACTTTTACGAACATTGACGTTTTTTGGGCAAGTAGAATTCACCTGGTTCACTGACTTTGGCATATGAAGGAGTCAAGGAGAATTGAATGGATAGTGTGGTCAGCATTATGTTCGGCCGCGTTTACTTTCCTTTATGGTACCCATCAAAGCTTGGTAGACTCAAAGACGTCATTGGGTATGAGCAACGGATCCAAACTCGAGACTTTCGGGTTAGCATTCAAACGCTCTATCATTTGACCACGCTGTGATATCTTATGTTATTTCTGTATATTACTAAAATCTATTGATAGATCCTTTGCAAGCTGAAGAGCTACATGAACATTGAGACTTGTTTCAACATAAAAAACCAAAATGGCTTAGCTAATTTAGCGGAAAGAAACGGACGCACTTTTGTATCTGAAGGTACACTCTGTGAGACAAATATCAGCCCTGAAACCTTCAAAATACAACAGTGCGTCAAAGGACAATGGATTAAAGGTATACAAATATAATACTTTTCTATACATTATTCTTGCCTGTTCTCTCATGAATAAATATAATTACCCGCTTTTAATTTTGTTCTTCAAAGAAAATATAATGTACTAATGAGCTTACAGAAGGAAAATACTAACACACATCCAGTTTTAAATATAAATACATATGTCATTGTATCTTGCTATTCTAGTGCAAGACAAGAAAGCGTGGATTGTGCACCGGTCAAAAAGAAATTTCTGGGATGGTTCTGATTTTAACTTTAACATTCCATCGAGTAATGTAATGATATTTTCCTTAAATAAAATTTCCTATACATTGCTAAAGGTGAATAGTTTATGTATCATTTGAATACTAGTACTTAGATATTTTACTGGGTGCGTATAGAGACCGATGTACTGACCAACTGCATAAAATATGTTTCCGTTACAATTTATTCAGAAATTATTTTAAGACATTATCCGAAACCCATTTGAATGATCTGCTTTCAGACTTATTACCAAACAGAAACCCGTCGGTCACTTGTCCAAGTATACCTTTAATTTACTACGCAGACAAGGGGGAAGTATCGGTGGCAGTCTGGTGGAACCAGCCAAATGTCTCTGACCCTGATGGTGACACTGTCAGGTATGTCGCAGTTGTTTTTGTATTCTACGTGCAATAAAAAAAACAATACTCCTTGACATTACTTCAAGGGATACTTGAAATTGCATAAACTTTACTATTTCGGATTTTATCGACATACAAAATAGTATATACTTACTTAATCTTATCGATTAATCGACATTAAAAATTTGAGTTTGCTTCAATTAGTAACAAAACTTTTTATAAAAGCTTCACCATTTACGTTTATTAAAAAATACCTTTCGAAGCTAACTAATTGTTAATTTAAACAAATGTATTTAAGCTATAGCCATGCATACTTTATTTAATTTAATTATATTTTTTAATTATGAATTTCCAAAAAAAGATGATGTTAATTAATAAAACTTTATGCACACATTTCAGTGTTAGTTTATCTCAGGGCAGCCAACCAGGTGTGAGGTTTGAAGAAGGTAGCTACACGATTTCCTACATGGCACAGGACAACAGAGGGGCAGCTGCCACATGTAGCTTTGCTTTTAACGTTATAGGTAACAATATCCGACTGCACGTACGCTCATACACACGATCGATTCATTGTTATCTAATATGTAATCATTTTGCTCTAGTCCGAAGATGCCCGAACGAAAACACGTACATTGATAGAGGTTCCGCCTCGTGCCAGCCCTTTCAACGAAATATTTACGGAGCTCAATGTGAATATCGCTGTGATGTAGGATACGAACTTACCGGAGCTACGAGAATCCAATGCGAATCAAACAGTCAATGGACTGCACCAAAACCAGTTTGTAGACGTCTGTATCATTTTCTTGTTTACAAAATATGTTAAAAGTTGAACTAGACTACTAGACTTCTTTTTACTTTCTCGTATACGAAGTTTAGAGGAAGTATTGTAATCGTACAAACATTTTTGTTTCACAAATCTCGACGTTTTACATCTCCCTGAGTCAGAAAAACATAGTTTTACTATTTTGTCCGTATGTCTCTCTCTTTCTCTCTCTCTTTCTCTCTCTCTCTTTTTCTCTCTCTTTGTGTGTGAGTGTGTTTGTATTATTGTATATCTGTGACCACGATTAATTGAGTACCGTCACAGCTAGGTTGATGAAATTTCATATATAAGTATTATCTCGAATTTGTAGTTCTGTATCAACTTTTCAATGATTCCCGTTAACCGGGAGTGGAACTTATTCTACTTTTAGTTTTTCAAAAGCCTATAACTTGATTACTGTTTCAGATAGTCACACATAAGTAAAAGATCCAATTCTCTGCCTTCGTAATTTCCGTTGATCGGAAGTAGCACTTTTCGCTATTTCCGATTTCTAAAAAAATGCATATAAATTTGGAAAGTACCAATAAAATTCCGCATTATTATACACATATTGTTTGCCGTTCACTTGGTGCGCAATTTTTTTCTACGAGATTTAATTCTATTTTTAAAAGATTAAGTAACTAAAAATGGATTAAAATTATGTCTATGTCCCTAGTTGCCATCCCCGTAGTGTTATATAAGAATATTTGAGAAAGTTTAGGGGAGATCACTACCGGTTTATTAAAATTTGTACTAATAATATTTTTTAATAAAATTATTTACTTAAAATCTAGCAATTACTTGCCAAGCGCCACCTGTCGTTGAGCATGGTCAGTTTACCTGCGGTTCTGGTGGTTACAGCTATCTATCTACCTGTTACCTGTCGTGTGAGGCTGGATATGCCATTGAAAGGGACAGTTCTATCAGGTGCCAGGTTAATAAGCAATGGACATGTGCAGGATTTTGCACAGGTAAATTGGCCAGTGTAGTGAATATTTCTAGCAACAATAAAAATCTAACAGCGTTGGTAGCCACATTTTCGTATTGTCCATACAAAATGTGAAACACATTTTAATAATGAAATTATGTGTCTATTCTAAAGAATTAATTTTGGAAATAATACTGCATGTATGTTAGTACCAACAATATGAATCACTAACAGGAAAGAACAAAGACATTTAAATACTACAAGTATAGAATAAGGTTTGTGTAATACTAGACGTGGAACCACCCAGACTGCACTGTGGACCAAACAGCATAACTTTTGCCATCTTTTGTAGAGTTCACCTGGTTCAGTAGCGTCGGCATATGACAGTGTGGTCAGCATTATGTGTTTCTTGGACACCTGTAACTATTACACACAACACTGGGGCGGTTGTGCATGTTTAAAGTGATCTACCTTAAATTCGTCCCATTCTAGCAAGTGTCCGTTCGGACCAGTAAAATAAGTGTTTTTTAATTGACTTGATTAAAGCATGAAATAAAGAAACGAATTTTGCTTAATAATTAGTTGTAATGAATATATTATTGTACACCAGTCAAGAGATGCCCATACTACCAGCCCATTGAAAACGCTGCTGTCAGCTGTTCTCATGACAACGCATACGGGTCTGAGTGTATATCTGTGTGTAACCAAGGTTACCAGATGGTCGGTGCTAATTCTCAGACGTGCCAAGAAAACCAGACGTGGAGTGGAACGAAACCAGCCTGCAATTGTAAAATTCTTTATTTATACTCTGCGTACCCGACCCCGCGCGTTGTCGCGGAAATAGAAGAAAGCCTGTCGAAATATATAAGAAGGGTTTCATCAATGCGTTACTAATCATATATTCTTAGACGCCTGACATTGTTTTGTAAAAGTGAGTTATTTAAATGTAAACAATTCCTTCGCGTGAATCACAAATATCGGGACACGATTTTACCTACACTACCAAATGAAAAGTTTGAGTGTACGTTAATCACTAACAGAAATAATGAGGTAGAAAACACTACGCTTATGACGTTTATGGGCGCTAACTGGAGCCCCCGATTACATTACCGCAGAGGCGCCGCGTACGGCCCCTGGCCCCTTAAAACTAACAGAGGCGCCATAATGCTCACAAGATAACCAAGAGCGCCAAATAGCATCCTGAAACAATGATACAAATTGCTTCATTTGCTAATGTTACACACAACAAAAGGATTTTTTCTTTAACACGTAGGAAAAAATTATTTCACGTGTTATAATCATCAATGTGAATGATGCAATTTGTAGCATTACTAATGATGTATTTTTAAAAGCTCAATCTTAATTTCTGATTGGATCGTCTAAAAATGTATGCTAATTGCATCATTCGCAAAATTACGAAACAGTTTAGACTTTTTTTACTGCTAAAAGGAAACAACCCAGTTAATAATCTAACCTTGGATAATTTTTCTGATTTTAAAAAATACATTACAGGGCCCTCAGCGGCCCATTTGAGCCTTTGGGGACCGAAACTGAAATTTATGTTCGCAGCAAAATCGCACCCTACCAGGTCGCCGGTGGACACGCCTGATTCAATTTAGTAAGCGACTGTAGCGCCCCATATTACCCATTGAAATCGCATCCTGCCGATAAACAAATCGCGCCCTGCCTGGGTGCCACCCCTGCTAATTTAAAAATGTTTTTTTTGCGCAGAAACCTCCCCAGGAGCATTCTTAACATCCTCTCAAAGTTTTATGGCGACCGTGTGAACAGTGTCACTGCAATTCACTTTTATTATTTTTATATACCGAATACAGAGAAAAATTGCACCCTCTCGTGGCGCTGCCCTTGCGAAATTAAAAATAATTTTAACAGAAACCTTCTCCACAGCGTTCTAATCAACTCACCAAAGTTTGATGACGATCAGATGAATGGTGTCAAACCAAAGTCGACTTTTATTTTCTATATACCGTATATAGAGAAAAACCACACCCTCCTGTGGCGCCGCCCTTGCGAAATTAAAAATGATTTTTTGACAGAACCCTTCCCTGCAGTGTTGTAATCAACTCCCTAAAGTTCGATGGCGAACAGATGAAGGGTGAGAAAACTCAATCGACTTATATTTTTATTTACCGTATAAAGAGAAAACACAAATCGCGCCCTACTGGGGCGCCACCCCTGCGATATTGAAATTATTTTTTTTGCAGAAACCTCCCCAGGAATATCCTCAACAACTTCCCATAGTTTCACGGCGATGTCATAAGAGGTGTAGTAATGCATACAAGACAAACAAACAAACAAACAAACAAACAAACAAACAAACAAACAAGCAAACAAGCAAACAAAACAACAAACAAACAAACAAACAACCAAACAAACAAACAAAAGAACAAACAACCAAACAAACAAACAAACATACATTGCTTTATATATATATCTATATATATCTATATATATATATATATATATATATAGATATATATATATATATATATATATATATATATATATATATATAGACTAGGCATACTATCTAGCTTCGCTTAGGTTTCAAAAACGTTTAAGAATTAGAACGATTAATTAATTGGTGATTGGCTGTTATGTGGAGTGCTTAAGTTTAAACGTTTAAACAGTAATTTCATTAAAAATGTTGGGGAATATTCACAAACGTACTACTCGCAAGATAATTAGAACTGCAAAGTCTTCTAATAGCATAATTCAAATATTATATTAAATTAACTTTTAAAAAATAACTTTTACAATTTAATTACAATAAATAACGTAAATTATAACGACATTATTATTTAAACGAATGTTATAGTACATCATTTTCTGTTTTAGTTTTGAAACAGTATGCAATTATAATTACAAAATAATTACTTTAGAAAGTTACCTCCCTTGTACATAGATCGAATGACGTAGTCTTTGTTTACTTTTTTCGAAAAAAATATGCTATGATTATAAAATAAATACGGCATCTGGACAAATATAACGACTCTAACACTTTTTTCCCGACGGGCATAAAGATTTTTTGCCACCCTCCAAGGTCGAATATCTACGACCTCACAAAATATCAGGGGAGTAGGAGTTCGCTCGGCAATTATTTTTCTATGTATAATTCATATTAGGATAACATCATTTGCGGTAATTTTTTAGCCCTCATCGATGGCTTAAGTCTGACCGACACATTTTCTGTACAGCTCAGCCATCTATCGAGGTGCATGCAAAAAATTGCCATGGTTTTCATATAAATTACAATGTTTACATAAAAAAAATACACTGGTTAGTTTTGACCACTTTACAGAGTTTTCCCAGAAATGATGTTTTTTCTGACATATCTAGGCGTTTTTCTACAATCTCACAAAATATCAAGGGTGGTCATTAGGCAATTTTCTTTCCATATATAGCTCATATTAAAAGAATTTCACTTGTGTTCACTCGGCAAATTTTTCTACGATATTTAGCTCTTAGAAGGCACCGGTCAGTCGAGGTCAGTTTGACCCACTTAGCGTGGACTTTTTGGCTGACCTGCACTGGCCCCGGTGTTCTGTCGGCCCGAGGCGGGAGCCTGCCAAAATTTAAGCGTCTGCGGAGCCGGGAAGAACCAGATCGGGCACCCAATATAGATATATAAAGAAAATATACGTGTGTTTGTCTTTTTTTGCATTATTATACCTTTCATCCGATTGCCATAAACTCCTTGAGAGGTACCTGCGGAAAAATTCAAATTCGTACGGGTGGAGCCCTGGCAGGGCACAATTCCATTCGTCTGTATCGAAGCGATTCGATTTTTCTGTATATACGGTATACAATTACCATGAAACTTTGGGGAGTAGATGAGAATACTCACGAGAAGATTCCTGCGAAAACGTTTTTTTTATGGGCAGCGCTTGAGAGTGTGCGATTTTGTTCAATACACGGTTTGGCGCTTAGAGTTCCAGAGCATACTTTAATCGGGCGTCCTGAATAACGGGTAAGGGTACTACCATATTAACAGTACATCCATGGTGCCTGCGATACATTTGAACAGTGCGATAGGCTAAGGATATAATGGGTTGCTGTAGTCGCTCACTAAACTGAACCTTGCGCGTCCTCCAGCGTATCTGCAGTGTACAATTTGGCGCCACGGGCTATCCCGTGAGCGCTATGGCGCCTACGTTCGTTTTAAGCAGTGTGATAGACTATGGATAAGATGGAGCGATTAGGTCGTTCACTAAACTGAACTATGCGCGTTCGCCGACGCCCCGGTAGGCTGCGATGTCTCCGCACTATCATAGGACTTTCTTCTAATCCCGCGGCAACGCGAGTGGGGATGGGCACGCTAGTTAATTATAAAAGTTGCATTATTATGTGCATGACATTATCACTATGTTTTGGATAAATAACATGTTCAGGTGACACGAGTTCAGGGATCGCGTGTTACGGTTAGACAGGAAATAGAGAGTATAAGGTGTGTTATCTTCTTCTCTTAGACTAGCTTCGTCAAGAAAGGTAACGAAAGCAAACATGATTATAGATATAGAAATTACTTTCAGTTGCGATTAGATTAACAAGGAATTGTGTATGAGAACTTCATGTCTATATTTGCGCAGGGTGGTATTACTCAAGTTTTACAAAGTATTCATAGTTATTATTTCATTGTTAGCGTTCATTGTATATATATATATATATATATATATTTATATATATATATATATATATATATATATATATATATATATATATATATATATATATATATATATATATATAAATATATATATATATATATATATATATCATTATATAGGTCAGTATACACGTTCTTTGTCACCTGATACGGCTAGATTTGTCCTGAACATTATTTAAAAAATTAGCCTAATTTATTGATAGTTTGCTAAACATTCAGTTTTTTTTTAATGATACACAGCGAGAGAATGCGGCAACCCACCATTCGTTGCACACGGAAACTATTCTTGTCCGTCTGGATTAAGGTACAAAAACCTCTGCTCACTGAATTGCAGTGCAGGATTTTTACCGGTCACCCCAGCTACTATCGTCTGCAAAAGTGATCAGCAGTGGTCACAAGCTGGTTCATGCGTAGGTAAATACAAATACACTTGTAACTTTCAATCTATTTAATAGTTAAGAGTAGTGTTAGAAAATAAGTTCGGGATAAATAAAACTCCACAAAATAAAAAGAAAATCGGGTCGATTTTGTTCGGGTCGGTAAAACCATGGCTGCAAAACAGAAAAATCCAGCGTTTGAACCACCAGGTAGAAGAAGCTCTATTGCTGTGGACAGCAACACATCTAGGAGAGACAGCTCCAGAATCAAACATCTGCTTAGTTACAGTTTGTTCTTTAATGAACAAAGGCTATGGAAGAAATAAATTCTAGAAAGAAAAGCAGGCTTAAATCAGAGTCAACAGGCTAGTTGTCACGAAATACCTAATTGCCTTGTAGAAAATCCGTTCCAATAATACAATTAACAATTCAGAAGAAGTATAAAAAGTAAGTTGCCCGTCACATTATAAAAAAAAATTATTGCAGATATTGAGGCACCTCAGTTTACAAAAGGCTGTACACGAGACTTTGAAGTTATCGCCGCGGCTGTTCGTCAACGCAACTATGTGAGATTCACATTGCCAGAAGCTGTGGATAACTCTGGCGAAGGGGTTGTCATCACATCCAACCCTATCTCCGGGTCTGATTTCCCACTTGGAGCAAGTCGGGTTGTAGTTTCGGCAACAGACTCTACTGGAAACCAAGCCAACTGCTCCTTCTCTATAACAGTTAAATGTAAGAGACAGCAATTTACTGATTTTAAACACAGGCATAAATTAAGTATTATTTTGAATCTTTGCAGATAGTCTACCACTTTTAGATCTCTTTTATATATATATATATATATATATATATATATATATATATATATATATAAACATTATACGTAATTATAATACTTGTATTTAAAATGCAATTGCAGCTATCTCGTGTGATGCCCCGAATGTGAACACATCGGCAAAAAATGTGATCGTATACGACTGCCCTGATCAGTTTGTCTACGGAGCCTCGTGTTTTATGCACTGCTCTAACGGTGACCAAATTATAGGGTCAAATAGAATGACGTGTGATAAAACAAGAAACTCCACACAACTAGACTGGAAAATAGATGGCAATTCTTTTCCATTTTGCAATCGTAATGATTTTTTTTGCACTTCATTCAATGTATATACTTATGTCCGTATTGATTTAGGCATGTATCAGATATAATATTGCACTAATAATTGTTGGAAAAACAATCTTGTAAAACTATTCTTGCAGCACAATCTTGCAGCAAATTAAATTCTCCCGACAACGGTGCTTTGGCTTGTAACACATCGGACGGTGCAAGTGAAGTGTGCATCGTAATGTGCAATAACCAATACACGTATCCCTACCAAGCACCTTTTAAGTTCAGCTGCAGTAAACGAACCGGGATATGGCTGCCAAATAACACAGTGCAAAGTTGCGTCAGTAAGTTTGATTTTGACTAAGTACCCATAGCTTCCTTTAATACTATAAGCTGTCTATGCAAATTTACATTAGAAATAGAATGTGAAGTGAGTAAAAGTTAATTTATTAAAATACAGTTGTACATATTTTTAGAAATAAGGAAACCAATAGCTGTAACAACAGAACTGCAATTTTACTACTACACTGGAAGCTGCAGTAATGACAGTGCAACCATTAAGGACAAGTTTCTTCAGGCTTTAGGAGTTTCTATTTTTAGGGATGCTTGTTCCGAAGATTCACCTTGCTCTGTTGACACTGTGGAGTTGTCTTGTGGTGCAGTTGTTCGTAGAAAGAGAAGGGACACGAGTAACATTACTTTTGAATTTAAGGTTTATTATGCTTTTATTTTAACCAAAATTTTATTTCGTTCCATTTTCTTTTCATTACCGGAAAAGATTATTTTTCGATGTTTGTTTTAAATTTTTAAAATGTAGAAGAAAACTAAAATGGACTCATATTTTCTTTACACCTACTCGGTCGCTATACAATTTATATGCTTCTCTCGGCAAACCCTTGGCCTAATTTATACTTGTTTATCTACTATTTAACAACGACTGTTTAATCCTTTGCTAGCCGATACTGCATTTCTGTACTTAGTTTCAAGCTTAAGGAAATTTTTTAATAAGATAAAACAAAACTTATATTTTAATGTGTATTTGTTATTTTTGCCGTTGGTAAAGCTGGGGTATCGGTTTAATTTAAAAAAAAAACTAGCTCTAAAAGTAACGTAACATTCGCTTTAGACCAAGCTTAAGATATTCATAAATTATTATTTATGGTATCCAAAAAGAAAATCCTAAACAACAACCGCTTCTGGAATTGTTATATATGAATTTGTTTTGAGTAGATTTCTGTAGTTATCAATATTGGTGAGTACAAGGACTTGGGCGATGATGAAAAAACTTCCAAATACTATGACGATATTGTGATGGGCATCAATGCGAAGATTCAAACCAAAGCCGATGCAGGTCTCCTAAATGTACAAAGTATCGGTACTTTTAACAAGATTGAATATGGTCAAGTTGGACTTAAATGTGAACCAGGGACTAAAATGGCGCAGAGAGTAATGGCATGCGGTACATACAAATTGTTTTAGCATAAAAGTATTTATACTATGATTACACATTGTTTTAACTACTAGATACAATACTTATGTTTATGTTACTAAATATATTGCAAAATATTTTATTTTTATTTTTTAACATTTAATTATATATAATTAAATGTAGAAATGTGTTGCTGAGATGAATTGCGTATAAATTACTTATTACACAATTAAGGAAACCTACAAATATAATTGAATTTCTACCAATAATTCGTCACTATATTACCGTATGGTTACAGTAACGCTGAAAAAAATCCTAATTAAAAAAGCTACTCTTTACAATCCATTAATAATTCTGGTAAGTTTATGAAGTCGTTACTTTACTATTTTCAGCGGGATGTGGAGCGGGCTACATGTTCATTAACGAAACTGAATCTTGCCAGGCGTGTCCTGTAGGGACATACCAGGACCAGGACGTTGCTTTTTCATGCACGCCTTGTCCTGATGGTCAAACGACAAAGGACAAAGGCTCTACAGATCTCACCCAGTGTTTGGGTAATAAAAAATATATCCATTGCTATTGATTATTAATCAGTATACTTTCAGTTAATATTATATTTAATATTTATTTATATATAAATTTATATTATTATAAATTTATATTCATGAATTTATTATTATAAATTTATATTATTATAAATGATATATTTTTATTTAATATATATTTAAAAATAAGAAGATTTTTATCTTTGTGTTTAAAAAAGATAAGAAATAACACGATTTTTTCTAATCGCTAATGATTTAAATCACTTGAAATAAAAAAAAAATTGTTTAGAAAAAATATATCTTACAATTAATTTTTTAATAATTATTCTAAGCTAATTTACCATAATCAATATTCAAACGATGAGTCTTTTAATTATATATTACAGTAACTACAATTAAAAATGTCAAATATCAATAAGTAATAAGAGCATAAGCACGCCGTACATATAGATCTAGTTTACTTTGTCTTTACAGACATCGTTGTCTTTTCCAGATTCAAAACAACACTATTCGTTTCAATCAGAAGTCCTAGAAGAGATAGAGTTTATACATTTTTGTTTTTAAATTTACAGATACAGGCACCAATATAGTCTTAATATCTGCTGCAATATCAGCAGGTGCCTTTTGTGTCCTTATCGGCCTATTTCTGACATTCTTTATATATAAAAGGTAATAATTGATAAAGTACATATTCTAAATTTAGAAAAAAACACCGTATATTAGATTGGCTTTTGCTTTACACTTAATTAAGCTGATTCAGAAATACTTATATAATTTTATTTTACATTTATTGTCTAAATATGAGAACATTTATTTCTTGGTTTCATGTAATTTTCTTTGTTCTTTTATCATCCTACAGAATGCGGAAAAGGAGTATAAAAACCTGAATGAAAATGATATCAATTTGTACACTTACTTATTTACGCAAGAAATAAGTAATTACATTTATTTAAATATTAAGTTCATATAGCTAATTTACTTCTTTACCATCTGTGCTAATTCTTCTTTTAACCAACTACTACAATTTTAAAATAAAAATATTGCCAAAGAACTTATTTCTACCTGTTTAAAGAATCAAATATTTGTGTTTAAACTACAAGCAGCAATTGTTAAGACTACTCTCAAATCACAAACACGTAGGCGTTTACTTGATTCTTAAATTTAACTTACATATAACCAGCAGTTTATCGACATCATCATAGTATCGACTAATAGAAAGCTTTTGACAGTGTAGATCAAACGTGTTAATGAACACAATATAAGCTTAAAATCTAGGACCCCTATTACAAAACAACAGTGCACAAGCGTATTCACACACATAAATCAGTTAGACAATACTGTCCTATATCTCAAGTACTATACATCCTTAGCCTAGAACCCCTACTAGAAAACATTAGACATGATATCTCTATGAAGAGACCTTATACACTACAGGCAAGAAACTGCTTGTATACGCGAAAGACACAATTTTCTGAGCATGAACAGAAAAAGCAATTCAGCCTACGGTGGGAAAATTCGGCTTCCAGAAAGATGAGCAACGGAAACATGTGCAACGGGAAAAAGCGCAAACAGAAAAATACGCAAGTAGAAATTTTCGCACACAGAAAAAGGCACAAGAGAAAAATGCGCACAAAGAAAAATATGCAAACAGATAAATGCACACACCTTAAAATTCAAAAACTTGGATAAAGTATGCTGAAGCAAACTAGAAGCAGAAAAAAAATAATGGGATTGGTAAGTGAAAAGGTAAAGATAAATAAAGCATAGACATCACAATAACAGACAAAATCAGAATTTACAGGATAACCTATACCAGCGGCTCTATGAAAGATGATAAAGAAACGTGGGCCATAATGAACAATAAAAGAAAACCAAAACTGTGGAAAAAACCAATGCTATACAATCATCTTTAATAGAGCACTAGTTAACAGGTACATCAGTCCAAAATGATTTTTGAAACAGCAAACTCTACAATACCCAACTCATTTATTAAACAAACAAACAAGCAGATTAGAGAGTTATTTAAAAAAAACAATCATAATCATTAGCCACTAAAATACAAAACAAATTAAATGGAGGCGATGGGCTGCATGATATACATACGGAAGAAAAACAACACTTTCTTATTAAAGGACCTATACAGAATCAGCATAGAACCACATTTAGATCCATTAACACAATATTACGCAGGGTAAAAAATAAAGAACCGTCTAAAATTAAACATCACTAGACCTTACTAGTGGAGAAATGACATAGGTAGCCTTTATAAAAAATGCTAGAAACAAAGCACTATTGTGGAAGACACATAAAAAATATACGACATCCTAATTGAACAAAATAGACATCTACACAGCAATAATTAGTTGGTTCAGGAACTCAATACAATAAAAATAAAGATACATTTAGAAACTCTACAATAAATGCATTACACCAAATTAAAAAGAAGTAGAATGCAGACTGATCCTTAACACAACATCAGTTTCCATCAATAACGTCAAATTAACTAATAGTTATTTTAATGCAGTTATATGCTGTTTTACGCTCCTCATTTAATAAATTAATACACTTCGAAATTGTATAAAACTACTAAACAATTGTTTTTAATGTTTAAAATAAACGTTGTACGAGGATTTCTACTTTATATAGTTGTTTGAAAGAGAAGGATGTTACAATGTTTTTGGTGTCTCATTTTCCTCTCAATAATTTACAGCTTTTCTTTGTAGACCCAAAATTATTCCAGTTCTATTTATAAGCCCATGCTTCCTACCCCTCACTCAATCCGACAAACCAAACTCTTTACAGCACATTGAATCATCATTTTAACAATATTTTAATTTTCAGGTAGAAAAACCCCAATAAAATTAGGTGTTTTGTGTTAAGAACAAGTAAACAATTTTAAATAAAAGAAGTAAAGAAATAAATATTACAAATACTTGAATATGTAAGAGAACATAACACACAATATACTCTATTTAAAATAGAAAAAATATAAGCCACCAGTATATATTAATGTTTCAATGATATGTATAGGATCGCAAATAATATTAAAGCCTAACTCATTGTAAAGAATTTGATAAATACACTTATATTTGCACAGAAAATCGTTGATCTGTAGCTAAAATAACACATGTGTATTATTAACCTTAACCTTAACCTTAACCTTAACCTTAACCTTAACCTTAACCTTAACCTTAACCTTAACCTTAACCTTAACCTTAACCTTAACCTTAACCTTAACCTTAACCTTAACCTTAACCTTAACCTTAACCTTAACCTTAACCTTAACCTTAACCTTAACCTTAACCTTAACCTTAACCTTAACCTTAACCTTAACCTTAACCTTAACCTTAACCTTAACCTTAACCTTAACCTTAACCTTAACCTTAACCTTAACCTTAACCTTAACCTTAACCTTAACCTTAACCTTAACCTTAACCTTAACCTTAACCTTAACCTTAACCTTAACCTTAACCTTAACCTTAACCTTAACCTTAACCTTAACCTTAACCTTAACCTTAACCTTAACCTTAACCTTAACCTTAACCTTAACCTTAACCTTAACCTTAACCTTAACCTTAACCTTAACCTTAACCTTAACCTTAACCTTAACCTTAACCTTAACCTTAACCTTAACCTTAACCTTAACCTTAACCTTAACCTTAACCTTAACCTTAACCTTAACCTTAACCTTAACCTTAACCTTAACCTTAACCTTAACCTTAACCTTAACCTTAACCGTAACCGTAACCGTAACCGTAACCGTAACCTTAACCTTAACCTTAACCTTAACCTTAACCTTAACCTTAACCTTAACCTTAACCTTAACCTTAACCTTAACCTTAACCTTAACCTTAACCTTAACCTTAACCTTAACCTTAACCTTAACCTTAACCTTAACCTTAACCTTAACCTTAACCTTAACCTTAACCTTAACCTTAACCTTAACCTTAACCTTAACCTTAACCTTAACCTTAACCTTAACCTTAACCTTAACCTTGAACTGACATGGTAAGGGCGTGCCATTAAGTGTGTGTCTATAATAACAAAACAGGGCAAGATGCTAGGAGTCAGGAAGACGGGGAAAAGAAAGACGACATTGGAAGGGGGACATGAATGAGCAGACTTGGCTGCTCGTTGCAGAATTACTTAAATCGGCAGAAAATTATGACAACATCAACTGTGATGTCCCAACAATCACAGGGGTTACGCGACGATTGACTAGTCACTGAAAAGCCGATCATACACTATTCTCAACGACACTGTCGTTGAGTGGCTTATCAACAGTGTCGGTATATAATAACGTTATAGATTTTTTCTCATTTGATTCTGTCGTTGAAACTCTAGTTATAGTAATAAACTGTTAAAACTAGCTAACGGAATAAAACCATTTCGATTAATTAATCGCTTAAAATATTTAATATAAGAAAAATTAAACAACCATTTATTTTACAGAGCTAATAATAATTAATATTATAAAAATGTATCTTCTGTCTTTAAAATTGAAAATTAAATTATTTTTAGCAATATAAATTAATACAGTGGATTGCTGAATTTAATTGTGATCATAGTTATGATTGATTTTAGAGATTATATGATTAATTTATACACAATTAGAATTACAGAATATTGATTATTCGGTATAGAAAACATTAGGGTAGAGATTACTAAACGATATAATATAGGATTATGTAATATAGAATATATTAGTATATTATTATAGAATCTAGGCTATACAACAAGTAATACATGATATGATTGCAAAATAGAAAAAATACATAATATAAACGCCCATTTTGTAATCGAATTTAAGACTCATTTCGTTTACAATATGTTATTACAAATATAAAATTGTAGAATACGTAATAGCTATTTTTATCGAATTTATACATAGAATGTGCTATATAATCTTAAGAACATGATTATGTAGTGGTACAAGTTGTGCCAAGGGGCTATACCCCCCTGATATATGTATATATATATATATATATATATATATATATATATATATATATATATATATATATATATATATATATATATGCATATAATGTAGAATTATGTATATTTCTCTCTATGTATATATATAATGAAGTTTTGCTTGTTTGTTTGTGGGTTTGTTTATGTCCTATATGCAGCACTACACCTTTCATCCTATGGCCATGCAACTTAAGTTAAGAATACCACTGGATATATATAATACCACAAGCACGGTGCCCCAGCAGGGCGCGAATCGATTCTTCCCTATATAGGGTATATATACGAAAAAAGTAGATTGCGGTTTAATCCCGTTCATCCGCTCGCCATAAAACTTCAGGGGAGGTTACAGTAAGAAATTCTTTTTTTTTTATTTTAACAGGGCGGCGCTCCTGGAGGGTGCAATTTTTCTCTACACAGTTTGTAAAAAACAAAACTGATGCTGTTTGACATCGTTCATCTGAGTGCCGTTAAACTTTCGAGAGTTAATGAAAACACTCACGAGAAGGTTTCTGCGAAAACAAAAATTAAAATTTATTATGGGCGTTTCCCTGGAGGGTGCGATTTTTGTTAATAAAAAAGGTAAGGTAAAAAAGCAACAACAGGCGCAGCCGCCGGCGCCCCGGATATTACGTAACCCGAAGCGCCCCGTGCTACCATGTGAACACTATGATGCCTACGTTCGTTTTTTTTTTAAATTTATACACTAAAGACACGATGGTCAACAATAATTGTTGACTATATGGAATCAGGCGCGTCTGGTGGCGCCCCGGCAGGATGCGATTTGGCGCCCTGTGATATCCTAAGGTTGTGTTAAAGAGCACTCTACAATATTGACTCTGTGGCACACGACATTCGATGACAATTCGTTTTACCCGGTGCGCCCCTGGCTTCGGGAGGAACACTATGAGTTTTAAAAGAGCGCCCTACAGTAGGGAAACTTTTGTCTACTGCACCACTGGCGTGTGGTCTATCGCCTCTGTGTGGATCCCTCATAAACAGTATTGCGCCTACGTTCGTTTTAAAGAGTGCGAAACATTATGGATACAATGGGCTACTGTGTGTGGTAGAATTTGCGCCT